CTATGTCTGCATTTTTTTTTTTTTTTCACTTTATTTTTATTGAGTTTTATAAATGTTACAAACATAGGCAATGGAAATGCATAGCATTTAAATTTCGCAGAAATTCACCAATGCACATGTAAAGTATGTCAGTCATATACAATGGAAATTAAGCAAAAATAAGAAGACAAAAACACAACCAAAGCTATGCAACAAATAAGCCCACAGCGGGCCTCCATCTCTTCATGAAAAGTTCTCTCTGCAATCTTAGAGAGTATGTGATCTCCTCCATGTGATATATCTCTCTTACTTTCTCAATCCAAATAGTATAAGTAGGTGGTTCTGGACTCAACCATTTGATAGTAATACACTTAAGTGCAGCAGTCAGTAAAATTCTCAAAAGATATTTTCTGCTATTTCCTCCAAAGCCATCTGGGACCGCCCCCAAGATGGCAAGCTGTGGTTCTTTTATAAGCGGTTGCTGAAATATTGTATTGAGTGTGGTAAATATATCATTCCAAAACAAATTCACCTTTGGGCATGTCCAAAATATGTGGGTGTGAGTTCCCAGGTAAGTACCACAATTGCGCCAGCAGGTGTCAGGATTAGAAGGATTCATTTTGGATGTGATTTCTGGTGTCCTAAAAAATCTTGTGATTATTTTCCATTTAAATTCTCTCCATAATCCAGAATTTGTGACTAGGTGCGATTCAATGCAAATATTTTCCCACATCTCATCTGTCATTTGAGTGCAAATCTCAGCCTCCCATCTTGCTTTAATGTATGAAGTATTATTGAAATTCAAATTTGAGAGTGCTTTATAAAAAAGACTTAATGTTTTTGGAGAGCAATTTCCCTGATATATTTTTAGTAGAAGTTCTTCAATAACTGAGGGATGTAGGACTTTGTTCCATTCTCTGTGTTTGGTCAAAAAACTCCTTAACTGTAGATATCGAAAGAAATCTGAAGAGGGAAGCTGAAATTGACTCCTGAGCTGCTCAAAAGATTTCAGGCAACCGCTGCCCACCAGCTGCCCACCAGCTGCCCACCAGCTGCCCACCAGCTGGCTCACCTTAACAAGACCAAAAGTTGACCACATTTTAAAGCTAGCATCGATTAGACATGGGGCAAATCCCTGGAGGCTGGAGATATCTGAGAGGACTGAAATTTCTCTTGGAAGACCATATGACTGCTTAATTTTATTCCAGATCTTAAATGTGGCCTTAGTCCACTCGCACATTTGTACTTCCTTCAGTGAGACATTACGGAAAGGCAAATTGTTAATAGGCGTATTACACAAACTCTTTTCAATATTAAGCCATTGAGTGTAAGACAGGTCCTGCATCCAAACAACCAAGGGTCTCATTTGCCCAAAAGTAATGCTTGAGATTGGGTAGTGCAACTCCACCTTGTGACTTTGGCAATTTTAATGTTTGCAATTTAATTCTAGGGCGTTTACCCTGCCATATAAATTTGGAGAAGAGTTTATCCAGTTCATCAAATGTAGAATTGGGAATATTTATAGGCAGCATTTGGAAGAGGTATAATAGTCTGGGTAAAATGTTCATACGTATACTCTCTATGCGCCCCATGAAAGAAAGAGGCAGGACCGTCCACCTCTCCAAGTCTTTTTTAATCCTCCCAATTAAAACCCTGTAGTTTACCTTGTATAATTCTGTTAAAGAGAATGGGATTTGAATACCTAAATACTTCATACCTTCCTTTGGCCATTTAAAACCACTCTGATCTTTGAAATGTTTTGATATGTTTCCCACTATGTCTATTGCTACCGTTTTATCAATATTGACTTTATACCCAGAGAGGTAGCCATAGGAGTGGATTATTTTCATTAGATGAGGGATGGTTGTCGTTGGATTTGAGATGTATAGTAATACGTCATCGGCATATATGGACAGTTTGTGATGTTCACCATTTATTAAGAATACTGTGATGTTTACGTCATCTCTGATTAGCTGTGCTAGAGGTTCAATACTTAGATCAAACAGCAGGGGTGATAATGAGCATCCTTGCCTGCAGCCGCGTTCTAGTGGGAATCTGTTTGATATTGTTCCGTTGACCTTTACACTGGCTGAAGGGTTAGAATATAAAATTTGGATCCATTTAATGAAGTTTGGGCCGAAATTAAATGTTTGTAATGTGTGATTTAAATATTGCCAGGACACCCGATCAAATGCCTTTTGGGCATCGAGAGAGAGAATCATTGCTTCGTTTTGTTGGGTTTTAGAAATAGAAATTAAATTTAGAAGTCTACGAACGTTGTCCCCATAGTGCCTTCCGGTTATGAACCCCGTCTGGTCTGGGTTTATAATATTTGTGATAATTTTACCAACCCGTTTGGCCAAGACTGCCGTGAGGATACGTAAATCTGTGTTGAGCAATGAGATTGGTCGATATGACTGGCAATTTGTTGGATCTTTGCCCTCTTTATGAATGACAACGATGGTAGCATCATTCCAGGAAGGCGCCATGGATTCGGTCCGCAGGGCATAATGATAAGCTTGGAGTAATAATGGGGTCAATTTTTCTCTAAATTTTTTATAAAATTCATTGATGTAACCGTCAGGACCAGCACTCTTAAAACTCTTCAGGTTAGAGATTGTTTGTTGAATTTCCAGTTCTGTGATTGGTTCATCTAACTGTTTTGCTGTGGATTCTGTAAGTGTCTTTAAGGCCCTGTCCACACGAAGTCAAGCTCAGGCCTAAACGCAAAAATACTTTATCAATCCAGTGTATCGTCCATACGAGGCCGGCGTTTTGGGGGGGTGTAAACGAACATTTTTGAAACCAGGTCCCAGAGTGGAAAGATTTCAAAACTCCGTATATGCCGCTCCGTGGTTACTGCCTCTCCCCAATGTATCTGAGACGCGTCATCGCCCCGCCTCTTGTTAAAGCAGCATGCGCCGCACTCAGAAAATAATGACAACAACAATGTAGCTTGTTGGTTTTGTAATCCAGTGCGACCCGAAGCAACAGTTCAACCTCATCGTCCGTCCATACTAATGTAGTACCAGCTCGCCCACTCGCCATGTTGTCTGTTTACAACATTCCGCGCATGCCCACGGAAGTTTGGGCTTGATCCCGTCATTGCGTCACAGCGCCACCAACAGGTCTGGCATAGTTTCACAGCGTTTTCAGGCGTATTGACTACATTCATATGGACGCACACATTTACTGAGCTAACTCCGTGTTTACAGAAAAAGTTTCTGAAATTATAAGCGTTTTGTCTTCGTGTGGATATAGCCTAATTTTATGTTTTTTAGGAATTCGGACAGTACGTGGTCATCTTGGCAAGTATCTGTATTTTTATACAGAGATTTGTAATACTCTGCAAAAGAGTTTGCAATTTTGTCAGGTTTAGTGATTGTTGTATGTTCATCCTTCAATTTTTGAACCGTATTAGCAGATTGCTGCTTTTTAAGTCTCAGTGCTAGCAATCTACTGGCCTTATTTCCATTTTCGTAGTACTTTTGTTTAGTGAATCTCAAGTTACCCTCTATTTTTTCTGTAATCAGACTGTCAAGTTCCTTCCGCAGTGATTTGAGTTCACTGAGTAGAATTGGGGTTTGAGTTCTTTTATGTTTTTGCTCTAGGTTTGTTATCTTACCCTCTAGCTCTCGCCGCCTAGCCTCATTTTTCTTTTTCTTGGCACAAGCAAATGACATTATACAGCCTCTAAGATAGGCCTTAGCACAATCCCATAAAATAAGAGGTGATATCTCAGGGGTGGAATTTAATTCTAAATAAGTGTCTAATTCACTAGTAATAAAATTACAAAATTCCTTATCGTTAAGGAGTGAAGCATTCAATCTCCAGTGTTTAACTTTTGGTGTTAAACACTTTTGGACACACATCCCATTTTAAAACCAGAGGGGCATGATCGGACAATGTAATTGGTAAGATGTTGATGTCCTCGATTCGGTGTTCTTCAGCTTTTGGAGTGAAAAACATGTCTATTCTTGAATAAGAGGAGTGCCTATGTGAGTAGAAGGTGAAGTCTCTGATCCTTGGAAACCGATTTCTCCAAACATCGATCAGGCCCAGTTCTGTGGTGAGACGTTTCAGTACTTTGCTCATTTGAGAAGCAGGGCTTTTGGAACTGGGCTGACGGTCCATGTAGGGCGAAATCGTACAATTAAAATCACCAGCGGGTAATAAGACACCGACACTCTTTTGAAGCAGTATGTCAAAGATATTTTGTATGAATTTGGCTTCATCCTCATTTGGAGCGTAGATATTGAAAAGTGAGACCTGCACACCATCAATTTCTCCATTTACCATGATATATCTACCCTCAGGGTCTTTGTGAATATATTGAGGGGTAAAATTCACCTGTTTATGTACTAAGATGGCCACTCCTCTCCTTCTACCTGAGCAGTGGGAAGAATAAAACACCTTATCTGCCCATGATCTCTTAAGCTTGTCATGCTCACTATCAGAAAGGTGTGTCTCCTGTAGATATGCAATGTGACAACCCTCTTTTTTGAGTTGGCCAAGAATTTTTTTTCTCTTAATTGGCCGTTGAGTCCTTTAACGTTGTAACTAATGACCTTGAGAGAGTTCATTATTGATTTTTTGAGCGTATGGTTGGGAGAGTTTTACCTTAGTATATACGAAGAGATGCATTTCTCTAAACTGTTTTGATCTTTTTGCATAGCATAACAAAGCAAATAAATAATAAACATTGATTGCCAAAAAGGATTCTTGTGATTTGAAACCTATCAATCGATCCCTGGGGAACATTGGGATCCAAACAGGAACAAAAAATCTGTAAACTTGTAATAAGTCCCTGAGCGCAGAAGTCCTACATTTTGATATTGCCATCAAAGGTGAACTTACAAGCAGTTCAGGGTATAGGCCGTGCGAGCAGTCCCACTACACAACTAACAGTGTGAGTGCACAAAAATAAGCCAGAAAAAATGAAAACCAGGCTCTGCTTTACTTGGAAATAATAGACACTTTGTTATATGAAGTACTCACAAAACTTTACCTCCTCGTTTATGTCAGTTCAGTCTCTGTTCGCCGTCCTCTCGGGGAAAAAGAATGATTTTCTTGACATAGTCCATGGCTTTAGTTGCATCTACGAATTCCTTCTCCACGTTGTTGTGTGTGACCCGGAGCCTAGCAGGAAAGAGGATTCCGTACCGGACTCCCGGCTTATCACGGAGCATCCTTCTGACTTCAGTGAAGGCTGCCCGCGCCTGGACAACGTTGGTTGTGTAGTCGGGGAAGACGGCGATGGGGCTGCCTCTGTACCGGAGCTGACCACCTCCGCTGCGCGCTCTCCTCAGGATGTCCTCGGCGTCCCCCTCGCTGTTGAGCCTGGCAATGATGACGCGTGGTCTGTCCCCAGCATTACGCACAGGTCCGATGCGATGAGAGCGCTCCACACGCACCTCTCTGTCAAGTCGAAATACTTCTTTCAAGAGAGAGGAGACCGCCTCTGGTGTACTGGAGCCCTGCGCCTCACTCACCCCCGACACTCTGATATTTCCCCTCCGCATGCGCCCCTCCATGTCTTCACATTTCTCCTTAAGCCTCTTTACTTCTGCTTGGAGATCAGACACTTGACCCTGAGCTTGTATCATCTCGTCAGACATGGTGGACATGTGGTCTTCTACTGATCTCACGTTAGCTTTTACCTGGTCTACCTCCGCCCGGAGAGCTGCGGTGTTGTTCTTAATCTCCGTTTTTACGTCTTCAATCTGCGTTTTAAGTGATTCAAAGTTGTCACGGAGTGCTTCTCTCATTTCACCTTTGATAATCGCTGAGAAGTCTTGGCGTAGTGAGGCTAGGATGTCCGCTTTGATTGTTTCTGGGTCCATGATGCTAGAGCTAGCCTTTGGAGCTTTCGTTGCTTGGCTAGCGGGTGCAGGGGCGGAGGGAGCTGGGTCACTCAAACTTTTCACCGAGGCTGCGCTGGGCTTTGTGCTGGAGGAGGCCTCGAACTTGTATTTTCGTAGATTTGCGGCCATAAATGCACCGTGCGTGGAGTATCTGGCACCGTAGCAATAGGTAACACGTTTAGAAAGAGATTTATCGTGCAGGGAGGTAACTTGCGTGTCTTTTAAGTTGGAATTTTACTAAACTAGCAGGAGCTCTGGAAGGTGCGTCTTTACTCCATCGCGCTCGCTAGCGCCCCCCCCCTATGTCTGCATTTTAATACTACTCTCTATAAACACATCTGCACTAGTTCCTACAGATGTGGAAAACAGAAACATCTAAAATCTGACTCCATTTGATTCCTTTTTACTTTAGTTATTAGAACAATTTGACCTTATTGATACTTATTTCCACAATAGAACTATTTTGATTATTCACTCCTGTGGACTCACCACCTGCAGGAGGATCAGTGAGGGGCTGGTGCTCTGTGTACTGGGTGCAGCTCTGACTGCCACCCCCCCCGACCCAGAAATGGATTAAGGGGAAGAAAATGGATGGATGGATGGATGATTATTCACTAGTCTAACTATTATTACTATTGTTTATTCTGACACCTCTTCTTAGCGACCCTTCAACCTATAGCTCCTTGAATCCAATGATATTATAGCTCCAGACTATTTCAGTCTATTCTATTATTATTATATGATCTATTATCTTAAAGAGTAGATCTGTTTGATGTTATAAGCGCTATTATTTCTCCTTTTGAATTTGCACAACACTAAATTTTAGAATGACCCCCTATGGGACAAATATAGAATTTTATTTTATTTTGGCAACTCCGAAAATTACTTAATAATTTTCCCATTTTGCTTTTTTAGGCTGCCCTTTCCATTATTTACTTGGTCTTGTAAATATATGTTTTACACTTCTTTCTAATGATTTAGAAGGTTAAGGACCATGACCACCTATGACAATAACATTATATACTCCCTCTCTTTGGTCATGGGCCAAGTATAAAACATGCATCTGTGTGTGTGTAGATTACTGTTCCGTTCATCTCCAGTTGTTCCTCCCGGATCGTCCTCAATTCATATTGTGGGCTTTGGTGCCAAAGTAGAGGCTCATTTTCCTTATGATCCATACTACTGTCATCCCTGAAGCAGGTGCAGTTTATCTTTCATCTGAAAAAGAAACATTAGAACACAAGAAATGCCCACTTCCCCCTCTTCGCATGGTGCGGCCTGTCAATCAATCCAATTGGGTAAAACATAACTGCATTGACAGACGGTGTGTGGCATCAGGGCAGAGGCTGTAGCCAAATACAGACTTAACAATATGTATGTTTCTAATTTTATACTCCCCTAAATGTGAGTTACAAACCAAAGTTGTCCTCCGCCCAATGACCGCTCACTGCGGTTGGACCGAATCACTGTCAGGACAAACAGCAGAGGGAGGGGCTCCCAGTACCTTCAGCAAGGTATTCATCTCAGAGTACTTTCTCAGAGTACTTTTCTCAGAGTACTCATCCCAGAGTACTCTCACTTTTACACCTGTTCAATAAAGCTTGTTATCTTTGAATCTCTAGTACTTACACCGTATGCTGTTGACAAAAAATAATTATTCCATGATCACATTAAAACATTACAGAAAACATTTGTTATTCCATTCTCCGTTCAGCACTCCTCGTTCACTCCTCATTTCACAACACACTCACAACACACTCACATCACACTCACAACACACTCACAACACACTCACAACACACTCACAACACACTCACACACTCACACAGGCCGACTCCCCACGTTAGTATATTGGTCCAGAGTTTGTTAAGGTCAACGTAGTGTACTTGACATGACGCACAAACATATAACATACACAAACATATAACATACACAAACATATAACATACACAAACATATAACATACACAAACATATAACATACACAAACATATAACATACACAAACATATAACATACACAAACATATAACATACACAAACATATAACACACACAAACATATAACATACACAAACATATAACATACACAAACATATAACATACACAAACATATAACATACACAAACATATAACATACACAAACATATAACATACACAAACATATAACACACACAAACATATAACATACACAAACATATAACATACACAAACATATAACATACACAAACATATAACATACACAAACATATAACATACACAAACATATAACATACACAAACATATAACACACACAAACATATAACATACACAAACATATAACACACACAAACATATAACATACACAAACATATAACATACACAAACATATAACATACACAAACATATAACATACACAAACATATAACATACACAAACACATAGACAACACAGGAGGCCTGTAATTTTAACTTTGTTATATTTTTCCATGTCCAATTACAATTGTCTCATGAGCTATTTCTATTGTTGCAACTTTCAGAGCCTGCAGAACATGCAGAGCTTTGAGAGATTTTTCCTAAAAGGATCCATTTCCAACTTTAATGTTTAAACCACGTGGTCTTTACTCGGGCTTCTCACAGACTGTGTCCCCTATATTTTTAATGAGCTCTTGTTACTTTAAAAGTCGTGCACGTACAATAAATGTTTTTCCCTCTTATTTTTTTTTTTTTTTTAGTGAAGCCAGGTCGGATTCATTAAAAATGTAAATTAGTCTCAAACTTTAATACTTTACCTTTGTTTCACGTTCATGTGGAGAAAAGACCATTGTTTTATGTGTGTGTACTTGCACCAATCATGTCTCAGATAAACTGCCAACAGTTGTATCAAAGACATAATTGTCCTAATTGTTTCTAATTTAGCTATTTGGAAGAGAAACATGTCATAAAAGATTTCATAAAATGTCCCTACATCCGTGTTTTCAACCAATGGACCGTGGTGCGTTAGTGTGCCATCAAAAATGGTCTAATATCACCTTTAGCCAAAATTTAGAAATACTCTATATTATTTTTCAGACCTTTTTTTTTGTCTGAACAAACCATTTTGTACTAAATGCAGCGTCCATTAAAAGCTGCAGTTCTCTTTCTAGCACCAGTTTCAACTGTGCATGTGATTGTTCTTAAATAATTAACGAGCCACGGTTCAGAGGTTGAAATACACTGCGTTAAATATCCGTATTACCAAGATCATGCAGTCAAAATCTATAATTCTAAACTTCTCCGCGTCTATAACTTTAAATAACAATAATAGTTTTAATAATAAAGCTCATCTAAATCATGCACAAATATACTGCTGTTCTAATCTCCTTGTGTCTCATGCTAAAGTAAGAGTCTAATAATTTTGACAATTGTCTTGTAATCATTCATGCAGCTAAATGTAGTGTTTCGAACGAATGACCTAAATGTGTAAATATGACTTAAATGTCCTTAATGTCTTGGTGCGTTTGTTGCCTGTCTGTATATTACCTTCTGTCTGTTTCATTTGCCCAGCCACGTCTTCCTCAAACGTCCGTTAATGTCTCTTTCTTTTACTCATGGCGTCTTTCAATGTCTTTGTCTCAAAGTGTCCAATGTCTTTGTCTCAAAGCCATTTTTCTTCTTCTTTCAATCACTTTCTTTCTTCTTCCGATAACTTTTTCTCATAATGTCTTTCTTCTTCTTTTCAATCACTTTCTTCTCCTTGCAATGTCTCTTTCTTTCATGTCTTCTTTGTCTTATTTTTGACGCACACCAGTGTGTGTCCTTCTTCTTGTTTTTTCCGGCGGTTGGCGGCCTATTTTTCCGCATTACCGCCACCTTCTGTTCCGTAGATGGGACAACACTCAGTTTGTGAAAAAGTCTGCGGTCTTTTCTTTGCCATGCTGTTAGAAATGGAGGCAGGAGGAGTCTTCTTCGAGAGTTCCTGTTAGCTGCTGCAGCCGATGCTGCCCCCTGCGACCCGCCGGGAGAGGGGGAGACGCTGATGGTCCGTGTTGATGGCGCTCGATTGTGGTTTGTGGCAGAGACGATTTTGGCCAAATGAAACAGACAGAAGTTTTCTCGGGAAAAAAAACAGACAAACAAGAAGCACAAACAAGTGTGTTAATTACCATACAAAACCAATGATTAATTACAAATCAAAATAAACCTATGGAATAATTAATATTAACATTTTAAACATTAGATTCTGAAAACCGGATTCTGCATTCAACTGCTATCCTAAGCCCTACTTTTCCAAAAGTATAATGCTCTCTAAGATCATTCTAACTTTTATATCACCAAAATGTAGGCAAAAAACTTGTCCAGACGCCTTGGAGATAAAAATAAAATAATGCCTCTGTGGTGGTTTACATAATTCACCCATGGAACTGTGGTTCCTCTGGTGGGGTTCCGGGGGGACAGGAAAAAGGGTTGCACAGTTTTTCCCAGGAAGAAAAATGTTTTTGGTTGTGTGAGGAGTTCTGTTACACTGGCTGTTTTATGGCATTAAAACGTGTACGTTTGTCACCGCTGTTTGACACACCGCCTCCGACTCCGCTCCTTACGCACCACATTGGTGACCCCGACGTCAGTCCCGCAGAAGTTTCTGGGACTGATCAAGATACAGAGCAAAGCAGTATGGCGCAGTCCGCCGCTCTCAAGCTGCCTGAGTTTTGGGAGACGTCCGCCGCAACGTGGTTTGCTCAGGCGGAGGCTCAGTTCGCCCTCCGTGGAATTACTGACGATGACACGCGCTATTACCATGTCGTCTCGGCGCTCGGGAGCTCCACGGCGACCAGGGCAGTGAGTTTCATTACTTCTCCTCCAGCCCACGGGAAGTATGCGGGGATTAAGGCATATCTGCTGAAGATTTTTGAACTGTCACGATCCGAACGGGCCCGACGCCTCCTTTCTATGCAGGGCCTGGGGGATAGCAGGCCCTCAGAACACATGGAGGTGATGTTAAACCTGCTGGGCAGTGAAGAGCCAAATTTCCTCTTTGTGGAACTGTTTCTGCGACACATGCCACCTCACGTGCAGACGGCTCTCGCGAATACAGCCATTACGGAGCCACGTGCTCTGGCGGAGGAGGCGGACCGGTTCTTCCTGGCCACCCATCGTTTCGTCCCTGACGTGTTGGCCCCGACACGCAGCTACACCCCCCTGCTGCGGCCGCTCTGCCTGTTAGGGGGCGCATTGTGACTGACGGCCCGGCCAGCCCTGGGTTGTGCTACTTCCATGCACGTTTCGGGGCCAAAGCTAAGAGGTGCCGCTCCCCATGCAGTTTCAACGCGACGGGAAACGCCAAGGCCTGCGCTCAGTAGTGGCCGTGAGCGCAGGCGCGAAGGGCCGGCTGCTGTTTGTTGTGGACACCCTGTCCGGGCGCAGGTTCCTCTGTGACACTGGCGCCCAGAGGAGCGTTCTGCCGGCTACAGTGGACGATGCTGCTGGGGGGTTGCATGGCCCGCCCTTAACGTCCGCCAATGACACCCCTATCCGGACATATGGCACAAAGTCTGTGGACGTATGTTTCGGGGGCCAGCGGTTTACATGGGACTTTGTCACGGCCGATGTCTCGTTTCCCCTCCTCGGGGCAGATTTTCTGTGCGCCCAGGGGTTACTCGTGGATGTCAAAAATGGCCGCCTGGTGGACGCTTTGACCTTCTCCTCATTCGCGTGTGTCTGTGATGAGGGGACATACAATGGTCTCTCCAGCTCGCTCGCTGAAGGTGACAAGTACCTGCGGCTCCTCGTGGAGTTCCCTGACCTGACGCGGCCCACTTTCTCGGCTGCTACGGCTAAACACGGAGTCGAACACCACATCGAAACCAGAGGCCCTCCTATCCACGCCAGGGCCCGGCGGCTCAATCCGGAGAGGTTGACGACTGCCAAGGCTGAATTCGCCAACATGGAACGACTTGGCGTCATTCGCCGTTCTGACAGCCCGTGGGCTTCACCACTCCACATGGTTCCGAAGCCAGACGGTGGGTGGCGTCCGTGTGGTGACTACCGCCGTCTTAATGATGCGACCACGCCCGATCGTTACCCGGTGCCCCACATTCAGGACTTTTCCGTACATTTGGCGGGGAAGTCCGTGTTCTCTAAAGTGGATCTGGTGCGGGGTTACCACCAAGTCCCGGTGCACCCGGCGGACATACCGAAGACGGCAGTGGTGACTCCTTTCGGGCTGTTCGAGTTCCTCAGGATGCCTTTTGGCCTGAAGAACGCAGCCCAGTCGTTCCAGCGGCTAATGGACTCGGCACTCAGGGACATGCCTTTCATCTTCGTCTACTTGGACGATGTCCTCGTCGCCAGCTCCTCGGAGGAGGAGCACCTGACACATCTCCGAGTTCTTTTTACACGGCTCGACCAGCACGGGCTGATCATTAACCCGGCTAAGTGTGTTTTTGGGGTGCCGTCCATAAAGTTCCTCGGGCATCTCATCACCAGTGAGGGGGCTGCCCCCCTCCCTTCGAAGGTGGACGCCGTTTCCACTTTTCCACGCCCACGCTCGGCCCGGGGGCTCCGTGAGTTCCTCGGTATGGTTACCTTCTACCATCGGTTCATTCGACAAGCGGCTCACGTAATGCGCCCGCTCTACGAGGCCCTTAAGGGTACGACCCCCAACCAGGACGTTGTCTGGACCGCGGAGGCGGACCAGGCCTTCGAGGACACAAAAGTTGCGTTGTGCCAGGCCACTATGTTGGTCCACCCGTCACCTGGGGCCCCGGTTGCCCTCACTACTGACGCGTCCGACTATGCCGTGGGTGCCGTGTTCGAGCAGTGGGTCGAGGGTACCTGGCAACCGCTCGCCTTTTTCAGCCGCCAGCTAGTCCCCAGGGAGCGTAAATACAGCACCTTTGACAGAGAGCTGCTCGCTGTTTGGTTGGCAATCCGCCACTTCCGCTTCGTCCTGGAGGGCCGTGAGTTTACGGTTTTTGTTGACCACAAGCCCCTTACATTCTCCATGTCTAAGGTGGCCGAGCCGTGGTCCGCCCGCCAGCAGCGCCAGCTGGCGTTCATCTCGGAGTATACCACGGACATACGACACATTGCCGGCAAATCCAATGTGGTTGCGGATTGTCTTTCCAGGGCGGTCGTTGGTGCGGTCCAGCTCGGACTAGACTACGCGCGTATGGGTGCGGACCAGGCCGCAGACCGCACCCTTCAGTCCCTCAAGGACTCGGACACTGGACTGCAGCTGGGAAAGGTCGCGGTCGGCGCTTCTGGGGTCAGGTTGTGGTGTGACCCCTCTACCGGCCAGCCCAGGCCTCTGGTCCCCGCCAGCTGGCAGCGGTCTGTTTTTGAGACTATACACGGCCTGTCCCATCCTGGCAGAAAGGCATCTGTTAGGCTTGTATCGCAAAAGTTCGTCTGGAGAGGACTCAAGAGGGATGTGCGGGCCTGGGTTGATTCTTGTGTGGCCTGTCAGCGTGCTAAGGTGCACCGCCATACCAAGGCCCCGTTAGAACCTTTTGTTGTTCCGGAGAGGAGGTTTGACCACGTTAACATCGACCTGGTGGGGCCGCTTCCCCCTTCACGTGGTTTCACTTACCTCCTCACGATGGTAGACAGGACGACGCGCTGGCCTGAGGCTGTTCCCCTCGCCTCTATCACGGCTGCCGATGTGGCTCGGGCGTTCATTGGCACGTGGGTTTCACGTTTCGGTACGCCCTCTGATCTATCCTCTGACCGGGGTGCGCAGTTTACCTCGGAGGTCTGGAACGCTGTGGCGGGGGGTTTGGGTGTCAAGTTGCACCGCACCACCGCATACCACCCCCAGGCTAACGGACTGTGTGAACGTTTCCACCGCTCTATGAAGGCTGCCCTTCGGGCCAGCCTGACAGACGGCAACTGGGTTGACAAACTGCCCTGGGTCATGCTTGGCCTTAGGACCGCCCCCAAGGAGGATCTGCAGTCCTCGTCCGCCGAGCTTGTTTACGGCCAGGCTTTGCGGGTGCCTGGGGATTTTATACCGGATGCTACGAGACCTTGGTCTGCTACCGAACAGCGGTCCTCCCTGCGGGAGGTGGCCACGGGGTTTGCGCCTGTTCCTACGTCGCAGCACTGCTCCCCTGAGTCCCGGATGCCCGCTGGCCTCCGCTCTGCGTCGTTTGTTTTCGTCCGCCACGACGCCCACCGTGGACCGCTGCGTCCCCCTTACGACGGCCCGTTTAAGGTTTTGCAGCATGGGGACAAGAGCCTGGTCGTGGACATTGGGGGTAGGCCTGAAACTATTTCCGTTGATAGGATCAAGCCTGCTCATGTGGACATTTCCAGACCGTTGGTGTTGGCCCAGGCCCCGCGCCGCGGACGCCCCCCAGTACTTTGTTCCCCTGGTCAGTCGGGAGTTCCTTCGACCGGGACGGTGCCGGCTGCGTCCCCCGCTTCCCTCCCCTCAGCCCCTGCCACTTGTACTCGGAGTGGTCGGGCCATCATTCCATTCCGGAGTGGGGATTTTGACTATGGTTGAATTCTGGGGGGGCTTGTGTGGTGGTTTACATAATTCACCCATGGAACTGTGGTTACTCTGGTGGGGTTTCCGGGGGCACAGGAAAAAGGGTTGCACAGTTTTTCCCAGGAAGAAAAATGTTTTTGGTTGTGTGAGGAGTTCTGTTACACTGGCTGTTTTATGGCATTAAAACGTGTACGTTTGTCACCGCTGTTTGACACACCGACTCCGCTCCTTACGCACCACACCTCTTTATAATCTAACTCAAAGTTCTGTGATCCTATGACTCCATGTCAGTAACATTATCGTGTGTATAAATGTAATTCTCTACAAAAAATATATTTGGTAATAGTTCTGTCTTCGAGAGAGAGAGACAGAGAGAGAGAGAGAGACAGAAAGAGGGAGGGGAGGGGCCTCCCGAACAAAGGAAAACATGGACGTCTGAAATACTTCCTCCTGTTAGCTACATTTTCCTCGTTTTTATCGTGACAAGGATTTAATCAGTGGTAAAAGTTTTTCTCACGTCAAACGACACTTTACATTTATTTAAATACGTCAGTAATGGAAAACATTACTATTTGCTTACATGATTAATGTATCGAGAGTTCCAGCAGAATCTTTTTTTTTTTCTGATTCTCTGTAACTATCGAAACATTACATCACAATACAAGAGAAAAACTCCCAGACTGATCTTTTGTCATTTCTTCACATGAAACTCGTATACTACAGCCAAGAGGCTCTCTTTTTCCTCATTAATCAGATCATTATTATCAGAATCCACATTTTAAATACTTGGCTTTTTTTCTCTGTTTAAATGTACCCTTTTTCCCGCCCCCCGGGGGATATGGAGGTTTTATTATCCTATAACTTCTGACCCTAAATCTGTCCCTATTTCTCTAATTCTATTCCTATTTTTTCACTAATTCACTTGTGCCTCTCTGCACGAAGGTGTGCCTCTTTTGCACTTCTAAACCCTGTGGACCTCTCATCCTGTATATTCTTTTTTAGAGAGAGACCAACATCCCTCAAGGTTAAAAACGTCGAAAAACCTGACTATTGTTCTATCGCGTCCGATAGAATCGCCCGTCACGGCGGTCTTGTCCACGCAGCAGTCATGCTGGGCCGAGATCTCTCTGTCTTCTATTTAAAACAATGTGCAGACTTTAGAAATGGTATCTGCTTACCTGTGTTTTGCAGTAGAGAGCCCCAAGACCCAACAGACCCAGTCTATCTATCTGAGCTCATCTCTGTCTTGCTCCTGCACCATCACGTCGGGGGTCTCCAAATGTAGTCAATAATTCCCTTTGACTGACGTGTTCAATATTTGGTACAGAAATCAGACAAAGATTCTCCAAGTTTAACATCTGTATTTAATTTATCTTTACAATCAGATACAGAAATTCCAACAAAGAGTGCTCTTAAAAGCTAATCCATGTCCCTCTCTTCTTGCCCTGTGCTGACCTCCCCCAGAACTCAAGCCAACCGTTTTTATCTGGACGTCTGATGACGTCACTTGTGGGCGTCTCCCGAATGTTCATTTCGGGTGTGCTGGCGTCCCGTGTCCACTGGGAGGCGTCAGAACGCCGTTGGTGAATCCCCAGTCTGCCTTAAGAGATTAGCCAGATGGTGGTTTGAACTTTGATCTCGCCAGAGAGACAAGAATGTTTATTTCTGGAGTTAATAATTTGTCTTGTTTTGAAAGCTGGTCCTCTTTATGATTCCCGTACTATCTTGTGTCCTTGGGGTTTTTCCTGAGTGCACAGAGGTCTTTTTGGCTATGATGTCCAAATGGTCAAATATTGTCACATCTGAATAGTGTAGATTTAAAATATACAACAACTGCTAAACTCCGGCAGCTCAGGAAAGCAAAGGAGTCTGCTTTCAGGGAGGGGGACCGCAGCGGCTACAAAGCAGCTAAATATCAGTTCAGGAAAGAACTGAAAGCAGCCAAGTCCCGGCACAGAGAACGACTACAGGAGCAGTTTGGTAACAACGATACTGCTTCTGTCTGGAGGGGCCTACGGGAGATCACCAACTACAAACCCAAAGCCCCCCCCTGTTCTGACGACCACAAGCTAGCTGACGATCTGAACTTATTTTTCAGTCGCTTTGATGCTGCCCCTGACACCTCCCCCACCCCCCACTACTCTAACGACCCACCCATCAGCCCTGCCCCCAGCCTAACAATAGCCGCTAAAGAGATTAAACAACTCTTCCTGAGGCTGCACCCCCGCAAAGCTCCTGGCCCGGACCACGTGTCTCCGGCCACTCTGAGACACTGCCCCAGTGAGCTTACTCCTGTGTTCACTGACATTTTCAACACCTCTCTGCAGTCCTGCCATGTCCTGCTTCAAATCCTCCATCATTGTCCCCGTCCCGAAGAAGCCCAGGATCACAGGACTCACTACAGACCTGTAGCACTTACGTCTGTCGTCATGAAGTCATTTGAACGCCTGGTTCTCTCCCATCTCAAGTCCCTCACCTCCCCCCTCCTGGACCCCCTGCAGTTCGCCTACAGAGCCAACAGATCTGTAGACGACGCCATTAACCTGGCCCTCCACCACATCCTACAGCACCTGGACTCCCCGGGGACCTACGCCAGGGTCCTGTTCGTGGACTTCAGCTCTGCCTTCAACACAATCCTGCCATCCCTGCTCCAGGACAAGCTCTCCCAGCTCAACGTGCCCGATTCCACCTGCAGGTGGATCACTGACTTCCTGACGGACAGGAAGCAGCGAGTGCGTCTGGGGAAGAATGTCTCGGACTCTAGGATTATAAATACAGGAGCCCCACAGGGCTGTGTTCTTTCTCCCCTGCTCTTCTCCCTGTACACCAACCACTGCACCTCCTCCCACCTCCTCCCACTGCACCTCCAACCACTGCACCTCCAGCCACGACTCTGTGAAGCTGATCAAGTTCGCGGACGACACCACCCTCATTGGACTCATCTCCAACAACGATGAGTCCGCCTACAGGAGGGAGGTGGACCGGCTGGTGTCCTGGTGTCTCCTACAGGAGGAGGTGGACCGGCTGGTGTCCTGGTGTCTCCTACAGGAGGGAGGTGGACCGGCTGGTGTCCTGGTGTCTCCTACAGGAGGGAGGTGGACCGGCTGGTGTCCTGGTGTCTCCTACAGGAGGGAGGTGGACCGGCTGGTGTCCTGGTGTCTCCTACAGGAGGGAGGTGGACCGGCTGGTGTCCTGGTGTCTCCTACAGGAGGGAGGTGGACCGGCTGGTGTCCTGGTGTCTCCTACAGGAGGGAGGTGGACCGGCTGGTGTCCTGGTGTCTCCTACAGGAGGGAGGTGGACCGGCTGGTGTCCTGGTGCAGTGGTAACAACCTGGAGCTGAACGCCCAGAAGACAGTGGAGATGATTGTGGACTTCAGGAAGAGCACTGTCCCCCCGCCCCCACCCTCCGTGATGGACTCCCCCATCACCTCTGTGGAGTCCTTCCGTTTCCTGGGCACCACCATCACCCAGGACCTCAAGTGGGAGCCGACCATCAGCTCCTCATCAAGAAGGCCCAGCAGAGGATGTACTTCCTGCGGCAGCTCAGGAAAGCCAAGCTGCAGTTCTACACGGCCATCATCGAGTCCATCCTCACCTCCTCCATCACCTCCTCCAGCACCTCCTCCAGCACCTCCTCCATCACCTCCTCATCACCTCCTCCATCACCTCCTCCATCACCTCCTCCATCACCTCCTCACCTCCTCCATCACCTCCTCCATCACCTCCTCCATCACCTCCTCCATCACCTCCACCATCACCTCCTCCATCACCTCCTCCCTCATCTCCTCCATCACCTCCTCATCACCTCCATCACCTCCTCCATCACCTCCTCATCACCTCCATCACCTCCTCCATCACCTCCTCCATCACCTCCTGCATCACCTCCTCCATCACCTCCTCCATCACCTCCTCCTTCACCTCCTCCATCACCTCCTCCATCATCTCCTCCATCACCTCCACCATCACCTCCTCCATCACCTCCTCCCTCATCTCCTCCATCACCTCCTCATCACCTCCATCACCTCCTCCATCACCTCCTCCATCACCTCCATCACCTCCTCCATCACCTCCTGCATCACCTCCTCCATCACCTCCTCCATCACCTCCTCCATCACCTCCTCCATCACCTCCTCCTTCACCTCCTCCATCACCTCCTCCATCACCTCCTCCATCCCCTCCTCCATCACCTCCTCCATCACCTCCTCCGTCACCGTGTGGTTCGCTGGAGCCACAGTCAGGGACAAACAGAGACTACAGTGCATTGTGGTCTCTGCAGAGGAAGTGATCGGCCGCAGCCTTCCATCGCTGCAGGACCTGTACGTCGCCCGAGCTCGAGGCCGGGCTGGTCGTATCACAGCCGACCCCTCTCACCTGCACATGGACTATTCCAACCACTCCCCTCTCACCTGCACATGGACTATTCCAACCACTCCCCTCTCACCCTGCACATGGACTATTCCAACCACTCCCCTCTCACCTGCACATGGACTATTCCAACCACTCCCCTCTCACCCTGCACATGGACTATTCCAACCACTCCCCTCTCACCTGCACATGGACTATTCCAACCACTCCCCTCTCACCTGCACATGGACTATTCCAACCACTCCCCTCTCACCTGCACATGGACTATTCCCCCGCTCAAGCCCCCGCTCAAGCCCCCGCTGAAGCCCCCGCTGAAGCCCCCGCTGAAGCCCCCGCTGAAGCCCCCGCTGAAGCCCCCGCTGAAGCCCCCGCTGAAGCCCCCGCTCAAGCCCCCGCTGAAGCCCCCGCTGAAGCCCCCGCTCAAGCCCCCGCTGAAGCCCCCGCTGAAGCCCCCGCTGAAGCCCCCGCTGAAGCCCCCGCTCAAGCCCCCGCTGAAGCCCCCGCTGAAGCCCCCGCTGAAGCCCCCGCTCAAGCCCCCACTGAAGCCCCCGCTGAAGCCCCCGCTGAAGCCCCCGCTGAAGCCCCCGCTCAAGCCCCCGCTGAAGCCCCCGCTGAAGCCCCCGCTCAAGCCCCCGCTGAAGCCCCCGCTGAAGCCCCCGCTCAAGCCCCCGCTGAAGCCCCCCGCTCAAGCCCCCGCTGAAGCCCCCGCTGAAAGATCAAGGCTCCTGTGGACTCAGCTCCTGCAGAGGATGAGGGGCTGGTGCTCTGACTGCCACCCCCGACCCAGAAATGGATTAAGGGGAAGAAAATGGATGGATGTGTTAAAAAAAGATGATTTGGTGTTTAGTTTCCTTTCAGTCTTTTGGACGGCACGGTGGCTGAGTGGTTAGCACTCTTACTTCTCAGCAAGAAGGTTCTGGTTTGAATCCTGGTCAAAACAGGACCTTCCTAAGAGGAGTTTGCATGTTCTCCCTGTGTCTGCGTAGGTTTCCTCCAGGTACTCCGGTTTCCCCTATCACTAAAAACATGAGCAATAGTTCTGGGTGAGTGTGTGTTTGTGAGTGCGACTGTGGGAGAACCGATGGAATCCAGAGTGATGTGTTCATGAACATGTACTGTCCCAAACAAATAAACAATAAATAAATAGTTTGTGAAATATTTGTTCCAGTGTTGTTCGTTTGTGAACATGCATTTAAATAAAGTTCCAGTAGAAACAAAGTTTAAATGTTCTATTTTAATTTACAGAAAAAATAAAATATGAATGACATTAGAGCTGAAACTGAACTCTCACAGTTTGCATAGATCAGAGAAGGAACAAATGTTATAAAAATATACAATTATTTACATAATACTACATGACAATGCTAACAGTGCTAACAATGCTAACAGTGCTAACGATGCTAACAGTGCTAACAATGCTAACAGTGCTAACAATGCTAACAGTGCTAACAATGCTAACAGTGCTAACAATGCTAACAGTGCTAACAATGCTAACAGTGCTAACAGTGCTAACAGTGCTAACGATGCTAACAGTGCTAACAATGCTAACAGTGCTAACAATGCTAACAGTGCTAACAATGCTAACAGTGCTAACAATGCTAACAGTGCTAACAATGCTAACAGTGCTAACAGTGCTAACAATGCTAACAGTGCTAACAATGCTAACAGTGTTAACAATGCTAACAGTGTTAACAATGCTAACAGTGCTAACAATGCTAACAGTGTTAACAATGCTAACAGTGCTAACAATGCTAACAGTGCTAACAATGCTAACAGTGTTAACAATGCTAACAGTGCTAACAGTGCTAACAATGCTAACAGTGCTAACAATGCTAACAGTGTTAACAATGCTAACAGTGCTAACAATGCTAACAGTGCTAACAATGCTAACAGTGTTAACAATGCTAACAGTGCTAACAATGCTAACAGTGTTAACAATGCTAACAGTGCTAACAGTGCTAACAGTGTTAACAATGCTAACAGTGCTAACAATGCTAACAGTGCTAACAATGCTAACAGTGTTAACAATGCTAACAGTGCTAACAATGCTAACAGTGTTAACAATGCTAACAGTGCTAACAATGCTAACAGTGTTAACAATGCTAACAGTGCTAACAATGCTAACAGTGTTAACAATGCTAACAGTGCTAACAGTGCTAACAGTGTTAACAATGCTAACAGTGCTAACAATGCTAACAGTGCTAACAATGCTAACAGTGTTAACAATGCTAACAGTGCTAACAATGCTAACAGTGTTAACAATGCTAACAGTGCTAACAATGCTAACAGTGTTAACAATGCTAACAGTGCTAACAATGCTAACAGTGCTAACACTAACAATGGCACAGAAAGATTCCAGGTTAAATTCTCAGGGTCGTGTCTTCTAAGAACTTGAGCTGTCGAACCATCACTGCGTACGGCTGGTACTTGTCGCCCATCTGCTCCCGCAGACGCAGCTGCAAAACAACATGTGACATCACAGCGCTAGACTTAATCATTCCTGACCACACCCCTCTCCTCCTGACCCCTCTGCTCCTGACCCCTCTGCTCCTGACCCCTCTGCCCCTGACCCCTCTGCTCCTCTGCTCCTGACCCCTCTGCTCCTGACCCCTCTGCTCCTCTGCTCCTCTGCTCCTCTGCTCCTGACCCCTCTGCCCCTGACTCCTCTGCTCCTGACCCCTCTGCTCCTCTGCTCCTCTCCTCCTAACCCCTCTGCTCCTGACCCCTCTGCTCCTGACCCCTCTGCTCCTGACCCCTCTGCTCCTCTGCTCCTGACCCCTCTCCTCCTCTGCTCCTCTGCTCCTGACCCCTCTGCTCCTCTGCTCCTGACCCCTCTCCTCCTCTGCTCCTCTGCTCCTCTGCCCCTGACCCCTCTGCTCCTCTGCTCCTGACCCCTCTCCTCCTCTGCTCCTCTGCTCCTGACCCCCTCTGCTCCTCTGCTCCTCTGCTCCTCTGCCCCTGACCCCTCTGCTCCTCTGCTCCTCTGCTCCTGACCCCTCTCCTCCTCTGCTCCTCTGCTCCTCTGCTCCTCTGCCCCTGACCCCTCTGCTCCTCTGCTCCTCTGCTCCTGACCCCTCTCCTCCTGACCCCTCTGCTCCTCTGCCCCTGACCCCTCTGCTCCTCTGCCCCTGACCCCTCTGCTCCTCTGCTCCTGACCCCTCTCCTCCTCTGCTCCTCTGCCCCTGACCCCTCTGCTCCTCTGCTCCTGACCCCTCTCCTCCTCTGCTCCTCTGCCCCTGACCCCTCTGCTCCTCTGCTCCTGACCCCTCTCCTCCTCTGCTCCTCTGCTCCTCTGCCCCTGACCCCTCTGCTCCTCTGCTCCTCTGCTCCTGACCCCTCTCCTCCTCTGCTCCTCTGCTCCTGACCCCTCTGCTCCTCTGCCCCTGACCCCTCTGCTCCTCTGCTCCTCTGCTCCTGACCCCTCTCCTCCTGACCCCTCTGCTCCTCTGCCCCCTCTGCTCCTCTGCCCCTGACCCCTCTGCTCCTCTGCTCCTGACCCCTCTGCTCCTCTGCTCCTGACCCCTCTCCTCCTCTGCTCCTCTGCCCCTGACCCCTCTGCTCCTCTGCTCCTCTGCTCCTGACCCCTCTCCTCCTCTGCTCCTCTGCTCCTGACCCCTCTGCTCCTCTGCTCCTCTGCCCCTGACCCCTCTGCTCCTCTGCTCCTGACCCCTCTCCTCCTCTGCTCCTCTGCTCCTGACCCCTCTGCTCCTCTGCCCCTGACCCCTCTGCTCCTCTGCTCCTGACCCCTCTCCTCCTGACCCCTCTGCTCCTCTGCCCCTGACCCCTCTGCTCCTCTGCTCCTCTGCCCCTGACCCCTCTGCTCCTCTGCTCCTCTGCTCCTGACCCCTCTGCTCCTCTGCTCCTGACCCCTCTGCTCCTCTGCCCCTGACCCCTCTGCTCCTCTGCCCCTGACCCCTCTGCTCCTCTGCTCCTGACCCCTCTGCTCCTCTGCTCCTGACCCCTCTCCTCCTCTGCTCCTCTGCTCCTCTGCCCCTGACCCCTCTGCTCCTCTGCTCCTGACCCCTCTCCTCCTCTGCTCCTCTGCTCCTCTGCTCCTGACCCCTCTGCTCCTCTGCTCCTCTGCCCCTGACCCCTCTGCTCCTCTGCTCCTGACCCCTCTCCTCCTCTGCTCCTCTGCTCCTGACCCTCCCCTCTGCTCCTCTGCCCCTGACCCCTCTGCTCCTCTGCTCCTCTGCTCCTGACCCCTCTGCTCCTCTGCTCCTCTGCTCCTGACCCCTCTGCTCCTCTGCTCCTGACCCCTCTGCTCCTGACCCCTCTGCTCCTCTGCTCCTGACCCCTCTCCTCCTCTGCTCCTCTGCTCCTCTGCCCCTGACCCCTCTGCTCCTGACCCCTCTGCTCCTGACCCCTCTCCTCCTAACCCCTCTGCTCCTGACCCCTCTGCCCCTGACCCCTCTGCCCCTGACTCCTCTGCTCCTGACCCCTCTGCTCCTCTGCTCCTGACCCCTCTGCTCCTCTGCTCCTCTGCTCCTCTGCTCCTGACCCCTCTGCTCCTGACCCCTCTCCTCCTGACCCCTCTGCTCCTCTGCTCCTCTGCTCCTGACCCCGCTCCTCCTAACCCCTCTGCTCCTGACCCCTCTGCTCCTGACCCCTCTGCTCCTGACCCCTCTGCTCCTGACCCCTCTGCTCCTGACCCCTCTGCTCCTCTGGCTCCTGACCCCTCTGCTCCTGACCCCTCTGCTCCTCTGCTCCTCTGCTCCTGACCCCTCTGCTCCTCTGCTCCTGACCCCTCTGCTCCTCTGCTCCTGACCCCTCTCCTCCTCTGCTCCTCTGCTCCTCTGCCCCTGACCCCTCTGCTCCTCTGCTCCTGACCCCTCTCCTCCTCTGCTCCTGACCCCTCTGCTCCTCTGCTCCTCTGCCCCTGACCCCTCTGCTCCTCTGCTCCTGACCCCTCTCCTCCTCTGCTCCTCTGCTCCTGACCCCTCTGCTCCTCTGCCCCTGACCCCTCTGCTCCTCTGCTCCTCTGCTCCTGACCCCTCTCCTCCTGACCCCTCTGCTCCTCTGCCCCTGACCCCTCTGCTCCTCTGCCCCTGACCCCTCTGCTCCTCTGCTCCTGACCCCTCTGCTCCTCTGCTCCTGACCCCTCTCCTCCTCTGCTCCTCTGCCCCTGACCCCTCTGCTCCTCTGCTCCTGACCCCTCTCCTCCTCTGCTCCTCTGCTCCTCTGCTCCTGACCCCTCTGCTCCTCTGCTCCTCTGCCCCTGACCCCTCTGCTCCTCTGCTCCTCTGCTCCTGACTCCTCTCCTCCTCTGCTCCTCTGCTCCTGACCCCTCTGCTCCTCTGCTCCTCTGCCCCTGACCCCTCTGCTCCTCTGCTCCTCTGCTCCTGACCCCTCTCCTCCTGACCCCTCTGCTCCTCTGCCCCTGACCCCTCTGCTCCTCTGCCCCTGACCCCTCTGCTCCTCTGCTCCTGACCCCTCTGCTCCTCTGCTCCTGACCCCTCTCCTCCTCTGCTCCTCTGCTCCTCTGCCCCTGACCCCTCTGCTCCTGACCCCTCTCCTCCTCTGCTCCTCTGCTCCTGACCCCTCTGCTCCTCTGCCCCTGACCCCTCTGCTCCTCTGCTCCTCTGCTCCTGACCCCTCTCCTCCTCTGCTCCTCTGCTCCTGACCCCTCTGCTCCTCTGCTCCTCTGCTCCTGACCCCTCTGCTCCTCTGCTCCTGACCCCTCTGCTCCTCTGCTCCTGACCCCTCTGCTCCTGACCCCTCTGCTCCTCTGCTCCTCTGCTCCTGACCCCTCTGCTCCTCTGCTCCTGACCCCTCTGCTCCTGACCCCTCTGCTCCTGACCCCTCTGCTCCTCTGCTCCTCTGCTCCTGACCCCTCTGCTCCTCTGCTCCTGACCCCTCTGCTCCTGACCCCTCTGCTCCTCTGCTCCTGACCCCTCTGCTCCTCTGCTCCTCTGCTCCTGACCCCTCTGCCCCTGACCCCTCTGCTCCTCTGCTCCTGACCCCTCTCCTCCTCTGCTCCTCTGCTCCTCTGCTCCTCTGCTCCTGACCCCTCTGCTCCTCTGCTCCTCTGCTCCTCTGCCCCTGACCCCTCTGCTCCTCTGCTCCTCTGCTCCTGACCCCCTCTCCTCCTCTGCTCCTCTGCTCCTCTGCTCCTGACCCCTCTGCTCCTCTGCTCCTCTGCCCCTGACCCCTCTGCTCCTCTGCTCCTCTGCTCCTGACCCCTCTGCTCCTCTGCTCCTCTGCTCCTGACCCCTCTGCTCCTCTGCTCCTGACCCCTCTGCTCCTCTGCTCCTCTGCTCCTGACCCCTCTGCTCCTCTGCTCCTGACCCCTCTGCTCCTGACCCCTCTGCTCCTGACCCCTCTGCTCCTCTGCTCCTCTGCTCCTCTGCTCCTGACCCCTCTGCTCCTCTGCTCCTGACCCCTCTGCTCCTGACCCCTCTGCTCCTCTGCTCCTCTGCTCCTGACCTCTCGTAGGTCCTCGTCCTCCTCCTCCATGACCTCCAGCACTCGCTGCAGCAGTGAGACTCCCAGACCCTGCAGAGCATCAGTCCTCAGCTGCTCCATGGTCCTCCTCAGTCTGACAGAACCTGAGGATCACACATGTGACATCACACACGTGACATCACACACGTGACATCACACATGTGACATCACACACGTGACATCACACACGTGACATCACACATGTGACATCACACATGTGACATCACACATGTGACATCACACACGTGACATCACACACGTGACATCACACATGTGACATCACACATGTGACATCACACACGTGACATCACACATGTGACATCACACATGTGACATCACACATGTGACATCACACATGTGACATCACACACGTGACATCACACATGTGACATCACACATGTGACATCACACATGTGACATCACATCTGTCAAACCATTCACACACCCATGGGTCTATAATAATATTTGTTATGGTGTTACCATGGGTCTATAATAATATCTGTTATGGTGTTACCATGGGTCTATAATAATATCTGTTATGGTCTTACCATGGGTCTATAATAATATCTGTTATGGTGTTACCATGGGTCTATAATAATATCTGTTATGGTGTTACCATGGGTCTATAATAATATCTGTTATGGTGTTACCATGGGTCTATAATAATATCTGTTATGGTCTTACCATGGGTCTATAATAATATCTGTTATGGTGTTACCATGGGTCTATAATAATATCTGTTATGGTGTTACCATGGGTCTATAATAATATCTGGATATACACCAAGATCAGACAGAGTCGGCTTTTCCCATTCAGGCAGTTTAGTTTGGGTTACTTTGGTTTGGGTTGGGCTAGTTTGGTTTGGGTTAGTTTGGGTCAGGTTAGTTTGGGCTGAGTTAGTTTGGATCAGGTTAGTTTGGGCTGAGTTAGTTTGGGTCAGGTTAGTTTGGGCTGAGTTAGTTTGTGTCGGGTTAGTTTGGGTCGGGTTAGTTTGGATCGGGTTAGTTTGGGTCGGGTTAGTTTGGGTCGGGTTAGTTTGGGTCGGGTTAGTTTGTGTCGGGTTAGTTTGTGTCGGGTTAGTTTGTGTCGGGTTAGTTTGTGTCGGGTTAGTTTGTGTCGGGTTAGTTTGGGTCGGGTTAGTTTGGGTCGGGTTAGTTTGGGTCGGGTTAGTTTGTGTCGGGTTAGTTTGGGTCGGGTTAGTTTGGGTCGGGTTAGTTTGGGTCGGGTTAGTTTGGGTCGGGTTAGTTTGTGTCGGGTTAGTTTGTGTCGGGTTAGTTTGTGTCGGGTTAGTTTGTGTCGGGTTAGTTTGGGTCGGGTTAGTTTGTGTCGGGTTAGTTTGTGTCGGGTTAGTTTGTGTCGGGTTAGTTTGGGTCGGGTTAGTTTGTGTCGGGTTAGTTTGGGTCGGGTTAGTTTGGGTCGGGTTAGTTTGGGTCGGGTTAGTTTGTGTCGGGTTAGTTTGTGTCGGGTTAGTTTGTGTCGGGTTAGTTTGTGTCGGGTTAGTTTGGGTCGGGTTAGTTTGGGTCGGGTTAGTTTGTGTCGGGTTAGTTTGTGTCGGGTTAGTTTGGGTCAGGTTAGTTTGGGTCCGGTTAGTTTGGATCTGGTTAGTTTGGGTCGGGTTAGTTTGGGTCGGGTTAGTTTGTGTCGGGTTAGTTTGGGTTGGGTTAGTTTGGGTCGGGTTAGTTTGGGCCGGGTTAGTTTGTGTCGGGTTAGTTTGTGTCTGGTTAGTTTGGGTCGGGTTAGTTTGGGCCGGGTTAGTTTGGGTCGGGTTAGTTTTGGCCGGGTTAGTTTGGGTCGGGTTAGTTTTGGCCGGGTTAGTTTGGGTCAGGTTAGTTTGGGTCGGGTTAGTTTGGGTCGGGTTAGTTTGTGTCGGGTTAGTTTGTGTCGGGTTAGTTTGGGTCGGGTTAGTTTGGGCCGGGTTAGTTTGGGTCGGGTTAGTTTGGGTCGGGTTAGTTTGGGTCGGGTTAGTTTGGGTCAGGTTAGTTTGGGCCGGGTTAGTTTGGGTGGGTTAGTTTGGGTCGGGTTAGTTTGTGTCGGGTTAGTTTGTGTCGGGTTAGTTTGTGTCGGGTTAGTTTGTGTCGGGTTAGTTTGTGTCGGGTTAGTTTGGGTCGGGTTAGTTTGTGTCGGGTTAGTTTGTGTCGGGTTAGTTTGTGTCGGGTTAGTTTGTGTCGGGTTAGTTTGTGTCGGGTTAGTTTGTGTCGGGTTAGTTTGTGTCGGGTTAGTTTGGGTCGGGTTAGTTTGTGTCGGGTTAGTTTGTGTCGGGTTAGTTTGGGTCGGGTTAGTTTGTGTCGGGTTAGTTTGTGTCGGGTTAGTTTGTGTCGGGTTAGTTTGTGTCGGGTTAGTTTGGGTCAGGTTAGTTTGGGTCGGGTTAGTTTGGATCTGGTTAGTTTGGGTCGGGTTAGTTTGGGTCGGGTTAGTTTGTGTCGGGTTAGTTTGGGTTGGGTTAGTTTGGGTCGGGTTAGTTTGGGCCGGGTTAGTTTGTGTCGGGTTAGTTTGTGTCTGGTTAGTTTGGGTCGGGTTAGTTTGGGCCGGGTTAGTTTGGGTCGGGTTAGTTTTGGCCGGGTTAGTTTGGGTCGGGTTAGTTTTGGCCGGGTTAGTTTGGGTCAGGTTAGTTTGGGTCGGGTTAGTTTGGGTCGGGTTAGTTTGTGTCGGGTTAGTTTGTGTCGGGTTAGTTTGGGTCGGGTTAGTTTGGGCCGGGTTAGTTTGGGTCGGGTTAGTTTGGGTCGGGTTAGTTTGGGTCGGGTTAGTTTGGGTCAGGTTAGTTTGGGCCGGGTTAGTTTGGGTCGGGTTAGTTTGGGTCGGGTTAGTTTGTGTCGGGTTAGTTTGTGTCGGGTTAGTTTGTGTCGGGTTAGTTTGTGTCGGGTTAGTTTGTGTCGGGTTAGTTTGTGTCGGGTTAGTTTGTGTCGGGTTAGTTTGTGTCGGGTTAGTTTGTGTCGGGTTAGTTTGTGTCGGGTTAGTTTGTGTCGGGTTAGTTTGTGTCGGGTTAGTTTGTGTCGGGTTAGTTTGTGTCGGGTTAGTTTGTGTCGGGTTAGTTTGTGTCGGGTTAGTTTGTGTCGGGTTAGTTTGGGTCGGGTTAGTTTGTGTCGGGTTAGTTTGTGTCGGGTTAGTTTGTGTCGGGTTAGTTTGTGTCGGGTTAGTTTGTGTCGGGTTAGTTTGTGTCGGGTTAGTTTGGGTCGGGTTAGTTTGTGTCGGGTTAGTTTGGGTCGGGTTAGTTTGTGTCGGGTTAGTTTGGGCCGGGTTAGTTTGTGTCGGGTTAGTTTGTGTCTGGTTAGTTTGGGCCGGGTTAGTTTGTGTCGGGTTAGTTTGGGTCGGGTTAGTTTGTGTCGGGTTAGTTTGGGCCGGGTTAGTTTGTGTCGGGTTAGTTTGTGTCTGGTTAGTTTGGGTCGGGTTAGTTTGGGCCGGGTTAGTTTGGGCCGGGTTAGTTTGGGTCAGGTTAGTTTGGGCCGGGTTAGTTTGGGTCGGGTTAGTTTTGGCCGGGTTAGTTTGGGTCGGGTTAGTTTGGGTCTGGTTAGTTTATCTCACTCACTCATGTGGCTGATGCTGGTGATTGACAGCTCTCTCTCGGGGGTCTTCCCGTGCAGCAACAGCGTGTCCCTGTACTTCCTGTTCAGTCTGAACTCCTGCAGGTCACATGACGCGTCTCCATCGCCGGCGGCCATCTTGAGAGTCTGCGTCATCATCAGCACCAGGTCCTGCATCTCACTGGACTCAGGTTTTCTGACCAATCACAGAAAGGCAGCATTAGATGGCGTTATTAAAGATGGGTCCCGGTGTAGCGTGGGTTGGTACTGCCTCAGCAAACCTGCGCCTCTCACGACTGTGGTTAGGGTTGGGTTAGGGTTGGGTTAGGGTTGGGTTAGGGTTGGGTTAGGGTTGGGTTAGGGTTGGGTTAGGGTTGGGTTAGGGTTGGGTTAGGGTTGGGTTACGGTTGGGTTAGGGTTGGGTTACGGTTGGGTTACGGTTGGGTTAGGGTTGGGTTAGGGTTGGGTTAGGGTTGGGTTACGGTTGGGTTAGGGTTGGGTTACGGTTGGGTTACGGTTGGGTTACGGTTGGGTTAGGGTTGGGTTAGGGTTGGGTTACGGTTGGGTTAGGGTTGGGTTAGGGTTGGGTTAGGGTTGGGTTAGGGTTGGGTTACGGTTGGGTTAGGGTTGGGTTACGGTTGGGTTACGGTTGGGTTAGGGTTCGGTTAGGGTTGGGTTAGGGTTGGGTTAGGGTTGGGTTACGGTTGGGTTAGGGTTGGGTTACGGTTGGGTTAGGGTTGGGTTAGGGTTGGGTTAGGGTTGGGTTACGGTTGGGTTACGGTTGGGTTACGGTTGGGTTACGGTTGGGTTAGGGTTGGGTTAGGGTTGGGTTACGGTTGGGTTACGGTTGGGTTACGGTTGGGTTACGGTTGGGTTAGGGTTGGGTTAGGGTTGGGTTACGGTTGGGTTACGGTTGGGTTAGGGTTGGGTTAGGGTTGGGTTACGGTTGGGTTAGGGTTCGGTTAGGGTTGGGTTAGGGTTGGGTTAGGGTTGGGTTACGGTTGGGTTAGGGTTGGGTTACGGTTGGGTTAGGGTTGGGTTAGGGTTGGGTTACGGTTGGGTTACGGTTGGGTTAGGGTTGGGTTAGGGTTGGGTTAGGGTTGGGTTAGGGTTGGGTTAGGGTTGGGTTAGGGTTGGGTTACGGTTGGGTTACGGTTGGGTTAGGGTTGGGTTAGGGTTGGGTTACGGTTGGGTTAGGGTTGGGTTAGGGTTGGGTTACGGTTGGGTTACGGTTGGGTTAGGGTTGGGTTACGGTTGGGTTACGGTTGGGTTACGGTTGGGTTACGGTTGGGTTAGGGTTGGGTTAGGGTTGGGTTAGGGTTGGGTTAGGGTTGGGTTACGGTTGGGTTAGGGTTGGGTTACGGTTGGGTTACGGTTGGGTTACGGTTGGGTTAGGGTTGGGTTAGGGTTGGGTTAGGGTTGGGTTAGGGTTGGGTTACGGTTGGGTTACGGTTGGGTTACGGTTGGGTTAGGGTTGGGTTACGGTTGGGTTAGGGTTGGGTTACGGTTGGGTTACGGTTGGGTTACGGTTGGGTTACGGTTGGGTTAGGGTTGGGTTACGGTTGGGTTAGGGTTGGGTTACGGTTGGGTTACGGTTGGGTTACGGTTGGGTTAGGGTTGGGTTACGGTTGGGTTAGGGTTGGGTTAGGGTTGGGTTAGGGTTGGGTTACGGTTGGGTTAGGGTTGGGTTAGGGTTGGGTTACGGTTGGGTTAGGGTTGGGTTAGGGTTGGGTTAGGGTTGGGTTACGGTTGGGTTACGGTTGGGTTACGGTTGGGTTACGGTTGGGTTACGGTTGGGTTAGGGTTGGGTTAGGGTTGGGTTAGGGTTGGGTTACGGTTGGGTTACGGTTGGGTTAGGGTTGGGTTAGGGTTGGGTTACGGTTGGGTTAGGGTTCGGTTAGGGTTGGGTTAGGGTTGGGTTAGGGTTGGGTTACGGTTGGGTTAGGGTTGGGTTACGGTTGGGTTAGGGTTGGGTTAGGGTTGGGTTACGGTTGGGTTACGGTTGGGTTAGGGTTGGGTTAGGGTTGGGTTAGGGTTGGGTTAGGGTTGGGTTACGGTTGGGTTACGGTTGGGTTACGGTTGGGTTAGGGTTGGGTTAGGGTTGGGTTACGGTTGGGTTAGGGTTGGGTTAGGGTTGGGTTAGGGTTGGGTTAGGGTTGGGTTACGGTTGGGTTAGGGTTGGGTTACGGTTGGGTTAGGGTTGGGTTAGGGTTGGGTTACGGTTGGGTTACGGTTGGGTTACGGTTGGGTTAGGGTTGGGTTAGGGTTGGGTTAGGGTTGGGTTACGGTTGGGTTAGGGTTGGGTTACGGTTGGGTTACGGTTGGGTTACGGTTGGGTTACGGTTGGGTTAGGGTTGGGTTAGGGTTGGGTTAGGGTTGGGTTACGGTTCGGTTAGGGTTGGGTTAGGGTTGGGTTAGGGTTGGGTTAGGGTTGGGTTAGGGTTGGGTTAGGGTTGGGTTAGGTTGGGTTAGGGTTGGGTTAGGGTTGGGTTAGGGTTGGGTTACGGTTGGGTTAGGGTTGGGTTAGGGTTGGGTTAGGGTTGGGTTACGGTTGGGTTAGGGTTGGGTTACGGTTGGGTTACGGTTGGGTTACGGTTGGGTTAGGGTTGGGTTAGGGTTGGGTTACGGTTGGGTTAGGGTTGGGTTAGGGTTGGGTTAGGGTTGGGTTACGGTTGGGTTAGGGTTGGGTTACGGTTGGGTTAGGGTTCGGTTAGGGTTGGGTTAGGGTTGGGTTACGGTTGGGTTAGGGTTCGGTTAGGGTTGGGTTACGGTTGGGTTAGGGTTGGGTTAGGGTTGGGTTAGGGTTGGGTTAGGGTTGGGTTAGGGTTGGGTTACGGTTGGGTTAGGGTTGGGTTACGGTTGGGTTAGGGTTGGGTTACGGTTGGGTTAGGGTTCGGTTAGGGTTGGGTTAGGGTTCGGTTAGGGTTGGGTTAGGGTTGGGTTAGGGTTGGGTTACGGTTGGGTTAGGGTTGGGTTACGGTTGGGTTAGGGTTGGGTTAGGGTTGGGTTAGGGTTGGGTTACGGTTGGGTTACGGTTGGGTTAGGGTTGGGTTTTATGCAAAATGTCACTTAAGTCATTCAGTGCAGCTGTACAGTCAGCCCGAGGATGAATATATACAGCACATAGGAAAATCACTGAGAATTCTCGGGGAAGATAGAACGGGCGGCATCTCAAAACCAGACACTCCAGGTTAGCAGAGCATGTTTTGTTAACAATAAAACTGTCAGTGCACCAGCGCTGGTTAATTAAAAAACACACACCTCCGCCTTTCGATTTCCCCGTGCTCTCCTTCTCTCTGTCCGAGCGGAAAATGGCGAATCCCGGCGGCTGAACAGCTGAGTCCGGGATATTCGGATGCAGCCAAGTCTCGCTGAGGCAGTACACTGCGCAGTCCCGAGCCTCGCGCTGGTACTGGATTCGGCTCAGGAGATCATCCGACTTGTTCGGGAGAGACTGAACGTTTGCAAGGTAGATAGGTGGCAGTGGGACCCTGGGGGGCGCGACTCCGCACGAGAAGCCTGCCTCGCTTTCCCCGGTGTTTGCGCTTCCTCCGTCGGCGAGAGACACCCGGCTCCGTACGGTGGTGAACACGGGGGAGGCGCCCGGCCTCATCGCCCTGTTCCCCGTCTCTGTCGCGGTCCGCACGCCGCTCTCCTCGAGTTGGGCACTCGTCGAAGCCCTCACACCTCAGAGCAGGCAACACTGGCTCACAAGCCAAGTCCCGTATGTCCATAAGAGTAATCACGGTGCACAAATATATATAAAGTGACTTTATAAAGGGCGGGGGGACAGGTTAAGAAGTGTTCAAGAGTCCAACAGCAGAGGGGAAGAAACTGTTCTTGTGGCGGGAGGGTCTAGTCCTGATGGACCGCAGCCTCCTGCCTGAGGGGAGTGGTTGGAATAGTCCATGTGCAGGTGAGAGGGGAGTGGTTGGAATAGTCCATGTGCAGGTGAGAGGGGAGTGGTTGGAATAGTCCATGTGCAGGTGAGAGGGGAGTGGTTGGAATAGTCCATGTGCAGGTGAGAGGGGAGTGGTTGGAATAGTCCATGTGCAGGTGAGAGGGGAGTGGTTGGAATAGTCCATGTGCAGGTGAGAGGGGAGTGGTTGGAATAGTCCATGTGCAGGTGAGAGGGGAGTGGTTGGAATAGTCCATGTGCAGGTGAGAGGGGTCGGCTGTGATACGACCAGCCCGGCCTCGAGCTCGGGCGACGTACAGGTCCTGCAGCGATGGAAGGCTGCGGCCGATCACTTCCTCTGCAGAGCGCACAATGCACTGTAGTCTCTGTTTGTCCCTGACTGTGGCTCCAGCGAACCACACGGTGACGGAGGAGGTGATGGAGGAGGTGATGGAGGAGGGGATGGAGGAGGTGATGGAGGTGCAGTGGTTGGTGTACAGGGAGAAGAGCAGGGGAGAAAGAACACAGCCCTGTGGGGCTCCTGTATTTATAATCCCAGAGTCCGAGACATTCTTCCCCAGACGCACTCGCTGCTTCCTGTCCGTCAGGAAGTCAGTGATCCACCTGCAGGTGGAATCGGGCACGTTGAGCTGGGAGAGCTTGTCCTGGAGCAGGGATGGCAGGATTGTGTTGAAGGCAGAGCTGAAGTCCACGAACAGGACCCTGGCGTAGGTCCCCGGGGAGTCCAGGTGCTGTAGGATGTGGTGGAGGGCCAGGTTAATGGCGTCGTCTACAGATCTGTTGGCTCTGTAGGCGAACTGCAGGGGGTCCAGGAGGGGGGAGGTGAGGGACTTGAGATGGGAGAGAACCAGGCGTTCAAATGACTTCAGGTGCTACAGGTCTGTAGTCGTTGAGTCCTGTGATCCTGGGCTCACAGGACTCAACGGGACGGGGACAATGATGGAGGATTTGAAGCAGGCCGGGACATGGCAGGACTGCAATGTCAGTCAAAAATGTCAATGAACACAGGAGTAAGCTCACTGGGGCAGTGTCTCAGAGTCTGTAGATTCCATGCATGCAGCTCTTCCACAGCTTCATCAGACCACACTTTGGAGCTCCTCACTGCAGGTTTCGAGAGCTTTAGTCTCTGTCTGTAAGCAGGAACCAGATGTATCATGGAGTGATCTGAGAAGCCGAGGGCTGGCTTGGGAACAGCGCGAAAAGCTCCGCGTACGGTGGTGTAGCAGTGATCCAGAGTGTTCTCCTCTCTGGTCGGGCATTTGATAAACTGTCTGTATTTGGGTAATTCCTGGCTCAAGTTTCCCTTATTAAAATCTAAAAGTGAATTAGTCTGTCACTGAAGCTGCTCTCCAGAGCAGAGAGAGTGTCCTGCAGGGGGCGACAGTCATGGTCCAGCATAGATATTAGTTTGTCCAGGACCCTCCTGTCCCCCACCTGCTGCACTGTGTCCAGGGAACAGCCCAGGACTGAGCTGGACTTCCTGATGTTCCAGCTTCTTCCTGTCCCTCTCTGTGATACTGCTGTTCCAGCAGACCACACCGTACAAGAGGCTCCACCACAGAGTCATAGAAGGTCTTCAGGAGTGGCCCCTGCACTCCAAAAGACCTAAGCCTCCTCAGTAGGTAGAGGCGGCTCTGGCCCTTCTTGAAGAGGGCGTCTGTGTTATGAGTCCAGTCCAGTTTGTGGTTCAGATGAACACCCAGGTACTTGTAAGAGTCCACTCTCTCAATGTCCTTTCCCTGGATGTTCACTGGAGCTGGAGCGGCAGAGTGACGTCTGCGGAAATCCACCACCATCTCCTTGGTCTTCCTCACGTTGATGAGGAGGTGGTTCATCTCCTTGGTCTTCCTCACGTTGATGAGGAGGTGGTTCATCTCCTTGGTCTTCCTCACGTTGATGAGGAAGTGGTTCCGCTGACACCAGTCCACAAAGTCCTGTATAACTCCTCTGTACTCTGTGTCATCGTCCTCGGAGCTGAGTCCGATGATGGCAGAGTCGTCAGAGAACTTCTGTAGAACACAACCGTCCGTGTTGTGTCTGAAGTCCGCAGTGTAGAGGGTGAAGAGGAACGGTGCGAGGACTGTCCCCTGGGGGGCCCCCACACTGCAGGTCAGGACCTCAGACACAAAGTCCCTGGTTCTCACAAACTGGGGTCTGTCTGTGAGGTAGTCCAGGATCCACTGGGACAGGTCGTAGTGTGAGATTTCATAACACTTTTAAGCAACTTTTATTAAAGTTAAACTCATCATTCTATCAATGTGCAGAAGCCAGTACTTTTCCCTTGTTTTGTCTATCTGAAGGCCAAGCTACATGGCACCGTGGCAGCTGCTGATTGGAGGTCTCCATGCCTCCGCTCTGTATAATACACTTGCATTCTGTTGTTCGTGTTGTTCGTGCTGTCTCTACCATCGACAATAAAACATGTCTTCTGTCTGAATGAAAGACGCGATCCCAGACATGTCATCTTCTTCAGTAGTCCACACCGGCTGTCTCCATCTTGTCCCTGAGAAGCCTCGGCTGGATGGTGTTGAAGGCACTGGAGAAATCAAAGAAGAGGATCCTCACAGTGGAGCCGGGTTTCTCCAGGTGGGACAGGGAGCGGTGGAAGAGGGAGATGATGGCGTCCTCAACTCCGACCGAAGAATGTGTTTAGCTCGTTTGCCCACAGCTGGTCTCCTGTGGACTGACTGGGGGGTGTTTTGAAGCCTGACATGGATTTGAGGCCTCTCCACACCCCCAGCACATCCTGCCGAGCCAGTTGCTCCTCCATCTTCCTCCTGTAGATGTTTTTAGCTGCGCGTATATTCAACCTCAACTTCCTTTGTGCAGATTTAAGGGCTTCCTTATCCCCTGACTTAAAAGCCCGCTTTTTGTCCTTAAGCAGAGCTTTGATGTCAGGGTTGATCCACGGCTTATTGTTTGGGAAACACCGTACAGGTTCCTTTAACACTGCCAAAAGCATTTTCAACAACCACTCACACTGTGCTGAAGAGGAGCCCCTACAGGGGGTAAGAGGAGCCCCCTGGAGGTAATAGTCAGTACTACAGGGGGTAAGAGGAGCCCCCTGGAGGTAATAGTCAGTACTACAGGGGGTAAGAAGAGCCCCCTGGAGGTAATGGTCAGTACTACAGGGGGTAAGAGGAGCCCCCTGGAGGTAATGGTCAGTACTACAGGGGGTAAGAGGAGCCCCCTGGAGGTAATAGTCAGTACTACAGGGGGTAAGAGGAGCCCCCTGGAGGTAATGGTCAGTACTACAGGGGGTAAGAAGAGCCCCCTGGAGGTAATGGTCAGTACTACAGGGGGTAAGAAGAGCCCCCTGGAGGTAATGGTCAGTACTACAGGGGGTAAGAAGATGTATGTACATCATGACGTAAATGATGTGGTCTGACAACGCTGAGGAGATACTAGGAAGTACTATTTTTGATGGAAAAGCACCTGAACTCGGCCGTGCCTTGCCGCACCGAACCGTACTGTTACTGTGGAAAAGCAGCACATGACACATGTCTGTAATCTGACTCCAGGAAACAGAATTATCCACAAAATAGTACCTTTTTTCTAATGCCACACTTCAGTGTGGTCAAGTCGGGTTTTTAAAATGATTGATTGATTTTTTTCCTCTAGAAAACGTCTTTAGAGGATGGTCCAAAAGTGGCTCTTGGTCCAAAAGTGGCTCTTGGTCCAAAAGTGGCTCTTGGTCCAAGTCTGGTTTTTTCACATTTTCCTACAGCTATTTTGAAAAAGACTGCAGGAGGGGTGGGGTCAAATAAGTCACGTCCGGTAATATTTACAGTCTATGAGACTCACTGACCGCTGCTCTCCTGCAGGAACCTCAGAACCCGAACTCCACTCTTCCTCGTCCGAGACCCCTTCAGTCTGTAGTCTGGGACAGACCGCCTCAGTCTGTGGTCTGGGGTAGACTGCCTCAGTCTGTGGTCTGGGGGAGGTCCCGGGGCATGACAACCTTCTGACTGGATTTATACCTGAGAATGTTCAGAGGAATGGTTTAAAATGTGTTAACTTTGTCTGGTACCTGACTGTAGTAAAGGTGGTACCTGACTGTAGTAAAGGTGGTACCTGACTGTAGTAAAGATGGTACCTGACTCTGTAGTAAAGGTGGTACCTGACTGTAGTAAAGGTGGTACCTGACTGTAGTAAAGGTGGTACCTGACTCTGTAGTAAAGGTGGTACCTGACTCTGTAGTAAAGGTGGTACCTGACTGTAGTAAAGGTGGTACCTGACTGTAGTAAAGGTGGTACCTGACTCTGTAGTAAAGGTGGTACCTGACTCTGTAGTAAAGGTGGTACCTGACTGTAGTAAAGGTGGTACCTGACTGCAGTAAAGGTGGTACCTGACTGTAGTAAAGGTGGTACCTGACTCTGTAGTAAAGGTGGTACCTGACTGTAGTAAAGGTGGTACCTGACTGTAGTAAAGGTGGTACCTGACTGTAGTAAAGGTGGTACCTGACTCTGTAGTAAAGATGGTACCTGACTGTAGTAAAGATGGTGCCTGACTGTAGTAAAGATGGTACCTGACTCTGCAGTAAAGGTGGTACCTGACTGTAGTAAAGGTGGTACCTGACTCTGTAGTAAAGGTGGTACCTGACTCTGTAGTAAAGGTGGTACCTGACTCTGTAGTAAAGGTGGTACCTGACTCTGTAGTAAAGGTGGTACCTGACTCTGTAGTAAAGGTGGTACCTGACTCTGCAGTAAAGATGGTACCTGACTGTAGTAAAGATGGTACCTGACTCTGTAGTAAAGCTGGTACCGGACTCTGTAGTAAAGCTGGTACCGGACTCTGCAGTAAAGCTGGTACCGGACTCTTGCTGCCTCAGCCTGCGTCTCTCTCTCGCAGACAGAGTCCGTCCCTATGAGTTTCAGAACAAATAAAGAAATGTATTGTTTTGATTCTTTGATCAAAGGACTTTTACGTCCAACACAAACTAATGTAACATCACGAAGGAGGGTCTCTGCTCTCACTCACAGCAGTCACAGCAGGAACCATAGGCCTCTTGTCCGCATTGGTGCCTTGTTTCTTCTTGTGCAGAGGTTTGGCCTGAACCAGAGGAAGCGGGAGCGGCCTGAGAGCAGGGATCTGAGCAAACAACAGCTGTGTTTAAGTAAGTAAGTAGTAAGTAATGTTTATTTATATACCGCCTTTCACAGACAGAGTCACAAAGCGGTTTACAATTGTTATTTTTGGGCACTTGTCTCTCACTCCACACAGAGATGCGAGCGGGGCCAGAACAGGAGGCGCATGCTAGACCTATTGTACATATTTTTAGTGGTAGGGGAAACCGGAGTACCCGGAGGAAACCTACGCAGACACGGAGAGAACATGCAAACTCCACTCAGAAAGGCCCTGGTCCGATCGGGATTCGAACCCAGGACCTTCTTGCTGAGAGGCGAGAGTGCTAACCACTCAGCCACGTGCCGTGTGAACAGCAGAGCAGGGATCTGAGCAAACAAGAGCTGACAGAGTTTATCTACTCATTATTTTGATTAAGTTTGTGTAGAAGGCCAAAGGTAGCACAGCCGCTTCATAGTCCACAGCCGCTTCATAGTCCACAGGCGCTTCATAGTCCACAGGCGCTTCAAAGTCCACAGGCGCTTCATGGTCCACAGGCCCCACATAGTCCACAGGCGCTTCAAAGTCCACAGGCGATTCACAGTCCACAGGCGCTTCATAGTCCACAGGCGCTGCCGCCAGAACCAGCACCAGAGACCTGCGACCACAGCTACGAGCTGCCGCATTGGCGATAGAGGTGGAGAACATTGTCCACTCAGTAGTAGTAGCTCGGAGTAGCTCTCCTCCTACCCTAGGACCTGGGAGTAGCTCTCCTCCTCCCCTAGGACCTGGGAGTAGCTCTCCTCCTCCTCTAGGACCTGGGAGAAGCTCTCCTCCTCCTCTGGGAGTAGCTCTCCTCCTCCCCTAGGACCTGGGAGTAGCTCTCCTCCTCCCCTAGGACCTGGGAGTAGCTGGGAGAAGCTCTCCTCCTCCTCTGGGACCTGGGAGTAGCTCTCCTCCTCCCCTAGGACCTGGGAGAAGCTCTCCTCTTTGTTGTCGTATCATCTGACTAAGAGCATTAGTCAGATGATACGACAACAAAGTCGATCATCCACCTCCGGCCTAGGGTGTTCCTTGTGCTGGAACACGGTGTTGGTGATGGACAAACTGACTAGCACAGAAGTCCAACAACTGAACACGGGTACTCTGCACTGCTGTAAGGCCCGTAGGCACAACAACAGTGAGAGACTTGTCCCCCACCCGGAGGCGGAGGGACGCGACCCTCTCATTCACCGAGGAGAACTCCAACACGTGGCGGCTGAGATGGGGGGCAATGAGAATGGCCACCCCAGCTCGCCCCAAATCGAAATAACCCCATAGCAACGCCCTTAGAAACAAAAAAACTTGACAGCCCTTGGTGACGTCAGAGTGGGTACGTTTCAACGCTGTAAGTTGTTTACAATTTGGTATTCGTTCTTTTTTTGCGGATATTCAAGATGACAAGGCCGTGTACAGCGAGTCTGACATAAATACTAGAATGTAACATTTCGCTGTCACTGAGATAGTCCAGTGGTTGTGTCGATGGACTGTCAATCCAGATACTTGGGTTCAAATCCCACCTCGGACACCTTTTCACACTCAAAACGGCAATTTATGTGTAGTGAGCAATTGTCACCTGTAGAGGGCAGTATTGTGTTGGGCATCAGTGGAGAGAAGAGAGAAAAGGCAGTCCTGTGGCATAGATCCATGGTTTTCAATGCATGGGCGTTACCCGCTGTGACGTCACACACAGGTTAGAGCATAGACAACTTAAATTCATGAAAAAGACGTTCTTTTTATAAAATATAGGATTTTTTTTGCCGGAATCTCTTTCAAATTGACATTGTCATGCAATTTTGATATCCACTTTTTTTTTTAAAAACCCGTCATAAGGTCTTTAAACTATACATATTGAAACAAATTTAAGAGCATTAGCCTTTGAGCCTGAAGGTCGTGGGTTCGAGCCCACCATGAGACCTTCTCCACTGACTCCCACTGATGACTGCTGTCGTTGTGTCCTTGGGCAAGACACTTGCGGCAGTAGCTCAGTTGGTAGAGCTTTGGCCTTTGAGCCAGAAGGTCGTGGGTTCAAGCCCCGCTCAAGACTTTCACCATCGACTCCCTCTGACTACTGTCGTTGTGTCCTTGGCAAGACACTTAACCTCTGGGAACAGCAGCCACAGTGGGGCGGCTGCGGCTGTAAAGTGCCAAACTGCCGTTGTGTCCTTAGGCAAGACACTTCACCCCCATTGCCTAGAATGAGTCTGGTGTGTGTATGAATGGTTGGTGGTGGGAGGGGCCGATGGCACAGACTGGTTGCCTCACTTCTGTCAGTCTGCCCCAGGGCAGCTGTGGCTACAGCAGTAGTTTATCACCACCGTGTATGGAGTGAATGAATAATGACACATGTGAAGCGTCTTTGAGTGTCCAGAAAAGCGCTATATAAAACCAATGCATTATTATTATTATTACTTAACCCCACTTTGCCCAAAGCCCCCGCTGAAAGATCAAGGCTATGCCAGAGCAGCCATCTTCCTGTGGATCAGTGAGGGGCTGGTGCCATGTGTACTAGGTGGCATCTCTGGCCACCCCCCCCGACCCAGAAATGGATTAAGGGGTAGAAAATGGATGGATGGATATTCAAACATATTTAAACATATTTAACTAAGAACTTATTTAAACATATTTAAATACATCTAAGGTCTGAGATGACAGAGCCGCTCCTTCACTGACCTTCAGTTTTGTTCTGTTGTTCTCAGATCCTTGCAGCAGCATGTGACCTCTGACCTCCCCCTGCTCCTCCTTCTCCTTCTTTTCCTCCTTCTTCTCCTCCTCCTCCTCCACACCTAGAGGAAGACCAGCTCCTCCAAGGCTGGGGTGATGTGTGTGTGTGTCTGTAGGACCAGGGCTGGGGTGATGTGTGTGTGTGTCTGTAGGACCAGGGCTGGGGTGATGTGTGTGTGTGTCTGTAGGACCAGGGCTGGGGTGATGTGTGTGTGTGTCTGTAGGACCAGGGCTGGGGTGATGTGTGTGTGTGTCTGTAGGACCAGGGCTGGGGTGATGTGTGTGTTTGTGTGTAGGACCAGGGCTGGGGTGATGTGTGTGTGTGTATGTGTCTGTAGGACCAGGGCTGGGGTGATGTGTGTGTGTGTGTGTGTCTGTAGGACCAGGGCTGGGGTGATGTGTGTGTGTGTGTGTGTCTGTAGGACCAGGGCTGGGGTGATGTGTGTGTGTGTCTGTAGGACCAGGGCTGGGGTGATGTGTGTGTGTGTCTGTAGGACCAGGGCTGGGGTGATGTGTGTGTGTGTCTGTAGGACCAGGGCTGGGGTGATGTGTGTGTGTGTGTGTGTCTGTAGGACCAGGGCTGGGGTGATGTGTGTGTGTGTCTGTAGGACCAGGGCTGGGGTGATGTGTGTGTGTGTGTGTGTCTGTAGGACCAGGGCTGGGGTGATGTGTGTGTGTGTCTGTAGGACCAGGGCTGGGGTGATGTGTGTGTTTGTGTGTAGGACCAGGGCTGGGGTGATGTGTGTGTGTGTGTGTGTCTGTAGGACCAGGGCTGGGGTGATGTGTGTGTGTGTGTGTGTCTGTAGGACCAGGGCTGGGGTGATGTGTGTGTGTGTGTGTGTCTGTAGGACCAGGGCTGGGGTGATGTGTGTGTTTGTGTGTAGGACCAGGGCTGGGGTGATGTGTGTGTTTGTGTGTAGGACCAGGGCTGGGGTGATGTGTGTGTTTGTGTGTAGGACCAGGGCTGGGGTGATGTGTGTGTTTGTGTGTAGGACCAGGGCTGGGGTGATGTGTGTGTTTGTGTGTAGGACCAGGGCTGGGGTGATGTGTGTGTTTGTGTGTAGGACCAGGGCTGGGGTGATGTGTGTGTTTGTGTGTAGGACCAGGGCTGGGGTGATGTGTGTGTTTGTGTGTAGGACCAGGGCTGGGGTGATGTGTGTGTTTGTGTGTAGGACCAGGGCTGGGGTGGCGGATGCTGACGCTGATGCTGCTGATAGTGGCCATGCTGAGATCTCGGGTCTCAGGGGGCGGAGTTTCAGAGGGCGGGGTCTCGGGAGGCGGAGTTTCAGGAGGTGGGGTTTTGGGAGGCAGGGTCTCGGGAGACAGGGATTTGGGAGGAGGGGGTTTGGGAGGAGGAGTGGAGCGTTTTGAGGGAATGTCGCTGCTGCCATTTTGGGATTTAGGCAAAGGAAGTCTCTCCGGCTGAAGAAAAAAAAAAAACAGTTCAAACTTTGAAACAAAACAATGTATTAAAATCCATTGAACCAGAAACAGTTTCGTTTCTACTTTTGTGGAACTGTCCCAGGACGCAGTTGGTAGAGCATTGGTGTTTGAGCCTGAAGGTCGTGGGTTTGAGCCCACCACAGGACTTTCTCCAGCGACTCCCACTGATGTCTGCTGTCGTTGTGTGCTCAGACTTTGATGTTTTAGTTACAGGTGAATTTAATATTCATGTGGATAATAATAATAACAGAAATGCAAAAGAGCTGAGTTCTATACTTGAATCCTTTAGTCTCCCCAAACATGTGAGTGGCCCCACCCACAGCAGAGGGCACACTCTAGACCTGTTAGTTACTAAGGGGGTGAATATTTCAAATGTAAACGTGGTCGATGTTGCTCTTTGGGATCATTTCTGTTAGTGAAACACATGTCAAAAAACACACAAACTACCAATGGACTCTGCAGCTGTTTGAATAAATGAAAATACGGGTGAACTATTTATGGGCCCTGAATACTGCAGTCAGCAGGTAGCCTGACTCTCGCCAGACCCTTGTAGTTCCGCCATGCTCCACCAGAGGCGTTTGGCTGAACACAAGGGTCTGGGATCGAGCGCATTGCAAACTCCTTCAGGAGATCAAAAAATAATCATCCAATCAAGATTGCCGGTGTTACGTTGGGTTTGCACCGCCTTTTTGTGCGACTCTGAGCCAAATCAAACGGATGTCACTTTTAATGCGATTTGAGGCGAGATGTTGATGGTTCCATGTTGTTATATGTGTGTTTTAAGAGAAAAATGTTTGTGTTTAGTTTGGTTTAAGTACTGTGTCACAACACTCATGTCTCTTGTCACAACACTACACATTAGGGTTGCCAGGTTGGGTGGTTTCCCGCACACTTTTTTTCCAAGCGATTTGTAGGTAATAAATGGTCAGCAAGACAAACAAAACAAAATCATGATAGCTTAAGTTGATGGCATAAAGATTTTGGCCAAAATATCATTCAGGGTGTTTACAATTCGATGTGAGTGGTTGAAGGAACATGTCATTCTAGATAACAGAGTGGTTTATCTAATCACATACAAGGATTTTAGTACATTCTGAAAATCCTCCGCTTTGAAGGAGACCCAGGCCCTTGTGTGAAGCTCAGAGAACTACAAGGGTCTGGGAGTCAGGAAAGTAATCAGGCCCCTTCTAAAAAAAGATCAGTCTGGATCCTCTCAAATCTGCCATTTATGGGGAAAGTCCTTGAGAAAGTTGTCTACCTACAGCTTACTAGATTTCTTATAATCAACAACTCATTTGATATGTTTCAGTCCGGCTTTAGACCCCACCACAGCACTGAGACTGCTCTCGTTAAGGTTACAAACGATATCCGGCTGAACACTGACGCAGGCAAAGTCTCAATCTTAATCTTGTTAGATCTGAGTGCTGCCTTTGACACCGTCGACCATGAGATCCTCTTACAGAGACTAGAGGACTGGGTTGGAGTCGCTGGCACCGCCCTAAGTTGGTTTAGGTCTTACCTTGAAGACAGTAAGTACTTTGTGGAGATTGGAAACTGTGTCTCAGATCATATGGCCCTGACCTGTGGAGTCCCACAGGGGTCGATCCTGGGACCTCTTCTGTTCAATCTCTACATGCTGCCGTTAGGTCAGTTAATACGCAGAAACAAAGTGTCCTATCATAACTATGCAGACGACACTCAGATCTATGTCTCACTGACTGCAGGAGAACATGGACCAGTCTCCTGCTGGTCCCAGAGTCAGGACTAGACATGAGGAGCCAGTGTTTCAGATGTATGCTAAAATCTGGAAGTCTTCCTGATAATGTGAGACAAGCTTCTTCTCTGACAATGTTCAGGTTAAAAACAGTTCAGTTTCAGCAACAACTGAAGGATTTAATCTTTACTATTTTTACTCATAATAATCATTTATTTATATATTTTAACCCTGTCATGTTGTGTTTACAGAAGGATCAGAGAGGACCACCTCCTGCAGAAGGATCAGAGAGGACCACCTCCTGCAGGAGGATCAGAGAGGACCACCTCCTGCAGAAGGATCAGAGAGGAGCACCTCCTGCAGGAGGATCTGAGAGGACCACCTCCTGCAGAAGGATCTGAGAGGACCACCTCCTGCAGAAGGATCAGAGAGGAGCACCTCCTGCAGAAGGATCTGAGAGGACCACCTCCTGCAGAAGGATCTGAGAGGAGCACCTCCTGCAGAAGGATCTGAGAGGACCACCTCCTGCAGGAGGATCAGAGAGGAGCACCTCCTGCAGGAGGATCTGAGAGGACCACCTCCTGCAGGAGGATCTGAGAGGACCACCTCCTGCAGGAGGATCAGAGAGGACCACCTCCTGCAGGAGGATCAGAGAGGAGCACCTCCTGCAGGAGGATCTGAGAGGACCACCTCCTGCAGAAGGATCTGAGAGGACCACCTCCTGCAGGAGGATCAGAGAGGAGCACCTCCTGCAGAAGGATCTGAGAGGACCACCTCCTGCAGGAGGATCAGAGAGGACCACCTCCTGCAGAAGGATCAGAGAGGACCACCTCCTGCAGGAGGATCAGAGAGGACCACCTCCTGCAGAAGGATCAGAGAGGAGCACCTCCTGCAGGAGGATCAGAGAGGACCACCTCCTGCAGGAGGATCAGAGAGGAGCACCTCCTGCAGAAGGATCAGAGAGGACCACCTCCTGCAGGAGGATCAGAGAGGAGCACCTCCTGCAGGAGGATCAGAGAGGACCACCTCCTGCAGGAGGATCAGAGAGGACCACCTCCTGGACAGGGAGGACAGACCTGCTTTGGTCGAAGAGGAGGAGACTTTAGTCCTGTTTTCCACGATCCACAATCGCCTCCAACAGAAGATTTCCTTTTGGTTTTTCTAAAGACAAGAACCACAGTGAAACCAGAGGGACCTGAGAGGGACCAGAGAGAGGGACCAGAGAGAGAGACCAGAGAGAGAGACCAGAGAGACCAGAGAGAGAGACCAGAGAGAGAGACCAGAGAGAGAGACCAGAGAGAGAGAGAGACCAGAGAGAGACCAGAGAGAGACCAGAGAGAGAGACCAGAGAGAGAGACCAGAGAGAGAGACCAGAGAGAGAGACCAGAGAGAGAGACCAGAGAGAGAGACCAGAGAGAGAGACCAGAGAGAGACCAGAGAGAGACCAGAGAGAGAGACCAGAGAGAGACCAGAGAGAGAGACCAGAGAGAGAGACCAGAGAGAGAGACCAGAGAGAGAGACCAGAGAGAGAGACCAGAGAGAGAGACCAGAGAGAGAGACCAGAGAGAGAGACCAGAGAGAGAGACCAGAGAGAGAGACCAGAGAGAGAGACCAGAGAGAGACCAGAGACCAGAGAGAGACCAGAGAGAGAGACCAGAGAGAGACCAGAGACCAGAGGGAGACCAGAGAGAGACCAGAGACCAGAGAGAGACCAGAGAGAGAGACCAGAGAGAGACCAGAGACCAGAGAGAGAGACCAGAGAGAGACCAGAGACCAGAGAGAGACCAGAGAGAGAGACCAGAGAGAGACCAGAGACCAGAGGGAAACCAGAGAGAGACCAGAGACCAGAGAGAGACCAGAGAGAGAGACCAGAGAGAGACCAGAGACCAGAGGGAGACCAGAGAGAGGCCAGAGAGAGACCAGAGACAGAGGGATCAGAGAGAGACCAGAGAGAGAGACCAGAGAGAGACCAGAGAGGGATCAGAGAGAGACCAGAGGGAGACCAGAGAACGAGACCAGAGAGAGACCAGAGAGAGACCAGAGAGGGATCAGAGAGAGACCAGAGAGAGACCAGAGAGAGACCAGAGAGAGAGACCAGAGAGAGACCAGAGGGAGACCAGAGAGAGACCAGAGAGAGAGACCAGAGAGAGGCCAGAGAGAGACCAGAGAGAGACCAGAGGGAGACCAGAGAGATACCAGAGGGAGACCAGAGAGAGGGATCAGAGAGAGACCAGAGAGAGGCCAGAGAGGGATCAGAGAGAGACCAGAGAGAGACCAGAGAGAGACCAGAGAGAGAGACCAGAGAGAGACCAGAGGGAGACCAGAGAGAGATCAGAGGGAGACCAGAGAGAGACCAGAGGGAGACCAGAGAGAGAGACCAGAGAGAGACCAGAGAGAGACCAGAGAGGGATCAGAGAGAGACCAGAGAGAGACCAGAGAGAGACCAGAGAGAGACCAGAGAGAGAGATCAGAGAGAGACCAGAGAGAGACCAGAGAGAGACCAGAGAGAGAGACCAGAGAGAGGCCAGAGAGAGACCAGAGAGAGACCAGAGAGGGATCAGAGAGAGACCAGAGAGGGATCAGAGAGAGACCAGAGAGAGAGACCAGAGAGAGACCAGAGAGAGACCAGAGAGAGACCAGAGAGAGCCCAGAGAGAGACCAGAGAGAGACCAGAGAGAGACCAGAGAGAGACCAGAGAGAGACCAGAGAGAGAGACCAGAGAGAGACCAGAGAGAGAGACCAGAGAGAGACCAGAAAGAGACCAGAGAGAGACCAGAGAGAGACCAGAGAGAGACCAGAGAGAGACCAGAGAGAGAGACCAGAGAGAGACCAGAGAGAGAGACCAGAGAGAGACCAGAGAGAGAGACCAGAGAGAGACCAGAGAGAGACCAGAGAGAGACCAGAGAGAGTCCAGAGAGACCCCAGAGAGAGAGACCAGAGAGGAATCAGAGAGAGACCAGAGAGAGACCAGAGAGAGGCCAGAGAGAGACCAGAGAGAGACCAGAGAGGGATCAGAGAGAGACCAGAGAGAGGCCAGAGAGGGATCAGAGAGAGACCAGAGAGAGACCAGAGAGAGACCAGAGAGAGAGACCAGAGAGAGACCAGAGGGAGACCAGAGAGAGATCAGAGGGAGACCAGAGAGAGAGACCAGAGAGAGACCAGAGAGAGACCAGAGAGAGACCAGAGAGGGATCAGAGAGAGACCAGAGAGAGACCAGAGAGAGACCAGAGAGAGACCAGAGAGAGACCAGAGAGAGACCAGAGAGAGACCAGAGAGGGATCAGAGAGAGACCAGAGAGAGACCAGAGAGAGACCAGAGAGAGAGATCAGAGAGAGACCAGAGAGAGACCAGAGAGACCCCAGAGAGAGAGACCAGAGAGGAATCAGAGAGAGACCAGAGAGAGACCAGAGAGAGACCAGAGAGAGACCAGAGAGAGACCAGAGAGGGATCAGAGAGAGACCAGAGAGAGGCCAGAGAGGGATCAGAGAGAGACCAGAGAGAGACCAGAGAGAGACCAGAGAGAGAGACCAAGAGAGACCAGAGGGAGACCAGAGAGAGATCAGAGGGAGACCAGAGAGAGACCAGAGGGAGACCAGAGAGAGAGACCAGAGAGAGACCAGAGAGAGACCAGAGAGGATCAGAGAGAGACCAGAGAGAGACCAGAGAGAGACCAGAGAGAGAGATCAGAGAGAGACCAGAGAGAGACCAGAGAGAGACCAGAGAGAGAGACCAGAGAGACCAGAGAGAGACCAGAGAGAGACCAGAGAGGGATCAGAGAGAGACCAGAGAGGGATCAGAGAGAGACCAGAGAGAGACCAGAGAGAGACCAGAGAGAGAGACCAGAGAGAGACCAGAGAGAGACCAGAGAGGGATCAGAGAGAGACCAGAGAGAGACCAGAGAGAGACCAGAGAGAGAGATCAGAGAGAGACCAGAGAGAGACCAGAGAGAGACCAGAGAGAGAGACCAGAGGAGAGGCCAGAGAGAGACCAGAGAGAGACCAGAGAGGGATCAGAGAGAGACCAGAGAGGGATCAGAGAGAGACCAGAGAGAGACCAGAGAGAGACCAGAGAGAGAGATCAGAGAGAGACCAGAGAGAGACCAGAGAGACCCCAGAGAGAGAGACCAGAGAGGAATCAGAGAGAGACCAGAGAGAGACCAGAGAGAGACCAGAGAGAGAGATCAGAGAGAGACCAGAGAGAGACCAGAGAGAGACCAGAGAGAGACCAGAGAGGGATCAGAGAGAGACCAGAGAGAGACCAGAGAGAGACCAGAGAGAGAGATCAGAGAGAGACCAGAGAGAGACCAGAGAGAGACCAGAGAGAGAGACCAGAGAGAGGCCAGAGAGAGACCAGAGAGAGACCAGAGAGAGATCAGAGGGAGACCAGAGAGAGACCAGAGGGAGACCAGAGAGAGAGACCAGAGAGAGACCAGAGAGAGACCAGAGAGGGATCAGAGAGAGACCAGAGAGAGACCAGAGAGAGACCAGAGAGAGAGATCAGAGAGAGACCAGAGAGAGACCAGAGAGAGACCAGAGAGAGAGACCAGAGAGAGGCCAGAGAGAGACCAGAGAGAGACCAGAGAGGGATCAGAGAGAGACCAGAGAGGGATCAGAGAGAGACCAGAGAGAGACCAGAGAGAGACCAGAGAGAGAGATCAGAGAGAGACCAGAGAGAGACCAGAGAGACCCCAGAGAGAGAGACCAGAGAGGAATCAGAGAGAGACCAGAGAGAGACCAGAGAGAGACCAGAGAGAGACCAGAGAGAGACCAGAGAGGGATCAGAGAGAGACCAGAGAGAGGCCAGAGAGGGATCAGAGAGAGACCAGAGAGAGACCAGAGAGAGACCAGAGAGAGAGACCAGAGAGAGACCAGAGGGAGACCAGAGAGAGATCAGAGGGAGACCAGAGAGAGACCAGAGAGGGATCAGAGAGAGACCAGAGAGAGACCAGAGAGAGACCAGAGAGAGAGATCAGAGAGAGACCAGAGAGAGACCAGAGAGAGACCAGAGAGAGAGACCAGAGAGAGGCCAGAGAGAGACCAGAGAGAGACCAGAGAGGGATCAGAGAGAGACCAGAGAGGGATCAGAGAGAGACTAGAGAGAGAGACCAGAGAGAGGCCAGAGAGAGACCAGAGAGAGACCAGAGGGAGACCAGAGAGAGACCAGAGAGAGACCAGAGAGAGACCAGAGAGGGATCAGAGAGAGACCAGAGAGAGACCAGAGAGAGACCAGAGAGAGACCAGAGAGAGACCAGAGAGAGACCAGAGAGAGAGACCAGAGAGAGACCAGAGGGAGACCAGAGAGAGATCAGAGGGAGACCAGAGAGAGACCAGAGGGAGACCAGAGAGAGAGACCAGAGAGAGACCAGAGAGAGACCAGAGAGGGATCAGAGAGAGACCAGAGAGAGACCAGAGAGAGACCAGAGAGAGAGATCAGAGAGAGACCAGAGAGAGACCAGAGAGAGACCAGAGAGAGAGACCAGAGAGAGGCCAGAGAGAGACCAGAGAGAGACCAGAGAGGGATCAGAGAGAGACCAGAGAGGGATCAGAGAGAGACCAGAGAGAGACCAGAGAGAGACCAGAGAGAGAGATCAGAGAGAGACCAGAGAGAGACCAGAGAGACCCCAGAGAGAGAGACCAGAGAGGAATCAGAGAGAGACCAGAGAGAGACCAGAGAGAGACCAGAGAGAGACCAGAGAGAGACCAGAGAGAGACCAGAGAGGGATCAGAGAGAGACCAGAGAGAGGCCAGAGAGGGATCAGAGAGAGACCAGAGAGAGACCAGAGAGAGACCAGAGAGAGGCCAGAGAGAGAGACCAGAGAGACCAGAGAGAGACCAGAGAGAGAGACCAGAGAGAGAGACCAGAGAGAGGCCAGAGAGAGACCAGAGAGAGACCAGAGAGGGATCAGAGAGAGACCAGAGAGGGATCAGAGAGAGACCAGAGAGAGACCAGAGAGAGACCAGAGAGAGAGATCAGAGAGAGACCAGAGAGAGACCAGAGAGACCCCAGAGAGAGAGACCAGAGAGGAATCAGAGAGAGACCAGAGAGAGACCAGAGAGAGACCAGAGAGAGACCAGAGAGAGACCAGAGAGGGATCAGAGAGAGACCAGAGAGAGGCCAGAGAGGGATCAGAGAGAGACCAGAGAGAGACCAGAGAGAGACCAGAGAGAGAGACCAGAGAGAGACCAGAGGGAGACCAGAGAGAGATCAGAGGGAGACCAGAGAGAGACCAGAGGGAGACCAGAGAGAGAGACCAGAGAGAGACCAGAGAGAGACCAGAGAGGGATCAGAGAGAGACCAGAGAGAGACCAGAGAGAGACCAGAGAGAGAGATCAGAGAGAGACCAGAGAGAGACCAGAGAGAGACCAGAGAGAGAGACCAGAGAGAGGCCAGAGAGAGAGACCAGAGAGAGACCAGAAAGAGACCAGAGAGAGACCAGAGAGAGACCAGAGAGAGACCAGAGAGAGACCAGAGAGGGATCAGAGAGAGACCAGAGAGGGATCAGAGAGAGACCAGAGAGAGAGACCAGAGAGAGGCCAGAGAGAGACCAGAGAGAGACCAGAGGGAGACCAGAGAGAGACCAGAGAGAGACCAGAGAGAGACCAGAGAGAGACCAGAGAGAGACCAGAGAGAGAGACCAGAGAGAGACCAGAGAGAGAGACCAGAGAGAGACCAGAAAGAGACCAGAGAGAGACCAGAGAGAGACCAGAGAGAGACCAGAGAGAGACCAGAGAGAGAGACCAGAGAGAGACCAGAGAGAGAGACCAGAGAGAGACCAGAGAGAGAGACCAGAGAGAGACCAGAGAGAGACCAGAGAGAGGCCAGAGAGAGGCCAGAGAGAGGCCAGAGAGGGATCAGAGAGAGATCAGAGAGAGAGACCAGAGAGAGACCAGAGAGAGACCAGAGGGAGACCAGAGAGAGACCAGAGAGAGAGACCAGAGAGAGACCAGAGAGAGAGACCAGAGAGAGAGACCATCACATACTCTTTTGTAGCCTCCAGGAACAGAGCGATCTGTTTTCTGATGTACGTCTGTCGCAGGACGCCCCTAACGTCCGGTCGCTCCTCTGGTCTTTTACTTAGCATTCTGCGAATCAAGTCTCCGAGCTGCGCGTCGTACTGGGAGGGCATCTGGGGCAGCTGCGGCAGGGACAGAAACATCAGACACACCACAGAGACGTCACAGAGACATCACAGAGACCGGAGAGGGAGATTAGTCTGTGTTAGCATTGTCCATCTGTATACAGTCTGTGTTAGCATTGTCCATCTGTATACAGGCTGTGTTAGCATTAGCATCTGTATACAGTCTGTGTTAGCATTGCCCATCTGTATACAGGCTGTGTTAGCATTGTCCATCTGTATACAGCATGGATCTATTATAATAACTGGATAGGGTATTACTAGCTTGGAGCTGAAGAACCTATGAGCTCGGAGGATTCTCGCGGTACTGCAGACTAACCCAGACTAAATTCATGTGGGCTACCCAGAAATGTTCCCCATAGAACTCAATGTAAACTAAAACAGTTCGACCTCAGCTGACAGAGAACCTACAGCTTTCATAAAGATCGGATTTTGTGGGGATTTCAGTGTCCCTTGTCATCTTGAACTTTTTTTCTTCTTAAATTTCTTTAAATCCACACTTTACTGCTGCAAACTCTGCTCGTCTGGCTCTGGCTCTAACTCCCGCTCTGATGAACTGCTCTGATTGGTCAGAGCCGAGCCCCTCTGTGCACGTGCGTGAGACCCTCTGTGCACGTGCGTGAGACCCTCTGTGCACGTGCGTGAGACCCTCTGTGCACGTGCGTGAGACCCTCTGTGCACGTGCGTGAGACCCTCTGTGCACGTGCGTGAGACCCTCTGTGCACGTGCGTGAGACCCTCTGTGCACGTGCGTGAGACCCGGTGTGAGACCCACACACGCGTGTTTGACGCAATGCATTATGGGAAATCATCCACTGCACAGAACCGGGAGGACCAGACGATGCCCAAATACAGGAGAGTTTCCCAAAGATCTTTGAGAGTTTCCCAAAGATCTTTGAGAGTTTCCCATAGATCTTTGAGAGTTTCTCATAGATCTTTGAGAGTTTCCCATAGATCTTTGAGAGTTTCCCATAGACCTTTGAGAGTTTCTCATAGATCTTTGAGAGTTTCCCATAGATCTTTGAGAGTTTCCCATAGATCTTTGAGAGTTTCTCATAGATCTTTGAGAGTTTCCCATAGATCTTTGAGAGTTTCCCATAGATCTTTGCGAGTTTCCCATAGATCTTTGAGAGTTTCCCATAGACCTTTGAGAGTTTCCCATAGATCTTTGAGAGTTTCCCATAGACCTTTGAGAGTTTCCCATAGATCTTTGAGAGTTTCCCATAGATCTTTGAGAGTTTCCCATAGATCTTTGAGAGTTTCTCATAGATCTTTGAGAGTTTCCCATAGATCTTTGAGAGTTTCCCATAGATCTTTGCGAGTTTCCCATAGATCTTTGAGAGTTTCCCATAGATCTTTGAGAGTTTCCCATAGATCTTTGAGAGTTTCCCATAGATCTTTGAGAGTTTCCCATAGATCTTTGAGAGTTTCCCATAGATCTTTGAGAGTTTCCCATAGATCTTTGAGAGTTTCCCATAGATCTTTGAGAGTTTCCCATAGATCTTTGAGAGTTTCCCATAGACCTTTGAGAGTTTCCCATAGATCTTTGAGAGTTTCCCATAGATCTTTGAGAGTTTCCTATAGATCTTTGAGAGTTTCCCATAGATCTTTGAGAGTTTCCCATAGATCTTTGAGAGTTTCCCAGAGATCTTTGAGAGTTTCCCATAGATCTTTGAGAGTTTCCCATAGACCTTTGAGAGTTTCTCATAGATCTTTGAGAGTTTCTCATAGATCTTTGAGAGTTTCCCATAGATCTTTGAGAGTTTCCAATAGATCTTTGAGAGTTTCCCATAGATCTTTGAGAGTTTCCCAAAGATCTTTGAGAGTTTCCCATAGATCTTTGAGAGTTTCCCATAGATCTTTGAGAGTTTCCCATAGATCTTTGAGAGTTTCCCATAGATCTTTGAGAGTTTTCCCATAGATCTTTGAGAGTTTCCCATAGATCTTTGAGAGTTTCCCATAGATCGTTGAGAGTTTCTCATAGATCTTTGAGAGTTTCCCATAGATCTTTGAGAGTTTCCCATAGATCTTTGAGAGTTTCCCATAGATCTTTGAGAGTTTCCCATAGATCTTTGAGAGTTTCCCAGAGATCTTTGAGAGTTTCCATAGATCTTTGAGAGTTTCCCATAGACCTTTGAGAGTTTCCCAGAGATCTTTGAGAGTTTCCCATAGATCTTTGAGAGTTTCCCATAGATCTTTGAGAGTTTCCTATAGATCTTTGAGAGTTTCCCATAGACCTTTGAGAGTTTCCCAGAGATCTTTGAGAGTTTCCCATAGATCTTTGAGAGTTTCCCATAGACCTTTGAGAGTTTCTCATAGATCTTTGAGAGTTTCCCATAGATCTTTGAGAGTTTCTCATAGATCTTTGAGAGAGTTTCCCATAGATCTTTGAGAGTTTCCCATAGATCTTTGAGAGTTTCCCATAGATCTTTGAGAGTTTCCCATAGATCTTTGAGAGTTTCCCATAGACCTTTGAGAGTTTCCCATAGATCTTTGAGAGTTTCCCATAGATCTTTGAGAGTTTCCTATAGATCTTTGAGAGTTTCCCATAGATCTTTGAGAGTTTCCCATAGATCTTTGAGAGTTTCCCAGAGATCTTTGAGAGTTTCCCATAGATCTTTGAGAGTTTCCCATAGACCTTTGAGAGTTTCTCATAGATCTTTGAGAGTTTCTCATAGATCTTTGAGAGTTTCCCATAGATCTTTGAGAGTTTCCAATAGATCTTTGAGAGTTTCCCATAGATCTTTGAGAGTTTCCCAAAGATCTTTGAGAGTTTCCCATAGATCTTTGAGAGTTTCCCATAGATCTTTGAGAGTTTCCCATAGATCTTTGAGAGTTTCCCATAGATCTTTGAGAGTTTCCCAAAGATCTTTGAGAGTTTCCCATAGATCTTTGAGAGTTTCCCAAAGATCTTTGAGAGTTTCCATAGATCTTTGAGAGTTTCCCATAGACCTTTGAGAGTTTCCCAGAGATCTTTGAGAGTTTCCCATAGATCTTTGAGAGTTTCCCATAGACCTTTGAGAGTTTCCCATAGACCTTTGAGAGTTTCCCATAGATCTTTGAGAGTTTCCCATAGGTCTTTGAGAGTTTCCCATAGGTCTTTGAGAGTTTCCCATAGATCTTTGAGAGTTTCCCATAGATCTTTGAGAGTTTCCCATAGGTCTTTGAGAGTTTCCCATAGGTCTTTGAGAGTTTCCCATAGACCTTTGAGAGTTTCCCTATGGAGTCTTTAAAATCTGCATTAAATGTAGCAGGCTCTTTTTAAAACAGAAAACCTTAGGATTAGATCATCGTCGCCCTGTACAGTGTTCAAACTCCACACTTTAAAACAGGACGTCAGAAAATATGGAGAGGCTATATCGCCAACTCCCTACTCGGGCTGTCCCTCGGGAGTGAAAGCCAGGTCTCCGAAACTACAAGAAGGCCTTCGGGGGCTCGAAACTCATACTATTTCAACTTTAATAGCAGCGAATAAAAAAAAAAACAAACAGTAGATTTTTGTTTTGGCACCGTCGCTAAACTCACAAACTGCCATAGCGCAATCGAGCCTAAAATTCAAGCTCACTGAGCCTGTGTCGACTTTCTCCACTTCTTAATAATTACTAATTACATCCATCGTGGGACAAGCTGGAGGAGGTCTGCTCCTGCTGTTGGTAGTGGCAGGTTGAAGCGGCTCGTGACTTCCCACGTTGACTCTTCAGTAGGGGCCTTAAATAACATTCATGGCGGTGAGCCAAGCAGAGGTGATCTCTGTGGTCACAGCCTCAAAAAGCCTCAATTGCACTGTTCCGCAACCCCCGTCCCCCGACATGGCCTCTTCAAAGAACAACTTCCTTTGATATTGCGCCTCTCTTACAAATTAATAACGCATCCCACATACAATGTGGCTTTGTCCACAGCTTTTAAACCGCGTAATCAAACCCTTTCTGAAGAAACCAAACCTGGACCCAGAAATACTTACATAACTACCGAACCGATCTCAAACCTCACTTTTTATCTAAAATCCTGGAAAAAACTTATGCTGAGCACTCCGCTGCCACCTGCCGGAAAATAATGTTTGATATAGTCTTTCCAATCAGTATTCTGAGCTCATCATCGCACTGAAACGGCACTAGCAAAGTCACAAATGACTTACTAACTAGCTTGCCGATTAATGGACATGTGTCACGTGTGGTCTACCTGGCCTTAGTGTGCATTTGACACCACTAGAACAGCATTCTCCATGCCAGAGGCTAGACAGGTGACTATAGGTCTTAGAGGAACAGCCCTTGGCTGGTTTAAATCCTATTTATCAGATCGATATCACTTGTCAATGTGAATAAGGACTCGTCGCCTTATTCGGGAGTGGAATTCGGTTGTGACGCGGTTCGGTACTCGGACCGATTCTTTTTACTCTTCCCTGCTGCCCTGAGGAAACATTATTAACAAAGCGATGGAATTAATTTCCACTGTGCTGATGACCACATCAGCCTTTATTGTCGATGAAGCCTAACCAGACAGATTTCAGCTAGAAAAGCTCAGTGCTGATAAAGACCTTAAATTGGTGGCTGACTCCTTAACCTTCCTTCCTTTCCAACCGGAGAAGACCAGAAGTGATCCTCTCGGTCACCGAAGCGCCTGCGTTGACTCCCTCACTAACCAGATGGTTACTCTCGATAATGTCAGTATTATACCCAGTAACACTGTATGCAGAATCTTGGAGTGTTTTTGACAAACTCTCTTCAAGGCTCTTATATAAGCCAAGCAACTAAAACGGCAGTACTTCCACTTACGGACCATCGCTACACATAGGAATTTTCCCTTCTTAAAAGTGACGCGGAAAAATCTTCACGCGGTTGTCACCTCAAGGCTCGACTACTGTAAGCTTTACTGGCAGCGTGCCCTAAAGGCCTCTTTGAGAGCTTCCAGCTCGTTCAGACAAACCGCAGCTCGGATTTAACAGGTACCAAAAGGAGGAGCACATACTCCCGGTGTTTAAAATCACTCCCCTGGTCCCTGTGGAGTGATTTTAAAACACCGGAG